GTGTGCACTACTTGTCTGTTCTATGTCATAAGTGTGCACTACTTGTCTGTTCTTATATCATAAGTGTGCACTACTTGTCTGTTCTTATGTCATAAGTGTGCACTACTTGTCTGTTCTTGTGTCATAAGTGTGCACAACTTGTCTGTTCTTATGTCATAAGTGTGCACTACTTGTCTGTTCTTATGTCATAAGTGTGCACTACTTGTCTGTTCTTATGTCATAAGTGTGCACTACTTGTCTTTTCTTATGTCATAAGTGTGCACTACTTGTCTTTTCTTATGTCATAAGTGTGCACTACTTGTCTGTTCTTATGCCATAAGTGTGCACTACTTGTCTGTTCTTATGTCATAAGTGTGCACTACTTGTCTGTTTTTATGTCATAAGTGTGCACTACTTGTCTTTTCTTATGCCATAAGTGTGCACTACTTGTCTGTTCTTATGTCATAAGTGTGCACTACTTGTCTGTTCTTATGTCATAAGTGTGCACTACTCCAAGAGACCAGGAGCCGTGCTGGAAGCTGGCAGTGTTGTAGCCTACCTGACTCTTGATGATCCAAGCCGTGTACAAATGGTAAGCTGTTAGTTTGCCAGTTTACTGACAGATTATCATCATAGTTAGTTTATTAGTAGTTCATCCTCATAGTTAGATAATTGACAGTTCATCCTCATTGTTAGGTAATTGACAGTTCATCCTCTTTGTTAAGTAATTGACAGGTCATCCTCATAGTTAATTGACAATTCAACCTCATTGGTAATTGACAGTTCATCCTCATAATTAGATAATTGACAGTTCATCCTCATAATTAGATAATGGACAGTTCATCGTCATTGTTAGGTAATTGACAGATCATCCTCATAGTTAATTAATTGACAATTCAACCTCATTGGTAATTGACAGTTCATCCTCATTGTTAGGTAATTGATAATTCATCTTGGTTGTTAATTAATTGACTGATCATCCACATAGTTAGTTGACAGTTCATCCTCATAGTTAGTTAGTTGACAGTTCATCCTCATTGTTAGGTAATTGACAGATCATTCTCATAGTTAGTTGACAGTTCATCCTCATAGTAAGTTGACAGTTCATCCTCATAGTTAGTTAGTTGACAGTTCATCCTCATTGTTAGGTAATTGACAGATCATCCTCATAGTTAGTTAGTTGACAGTTCATCCTCATTGCTATATAATTGACAGTTTATCCTCATTGCTATGTAATTGACAGTTCATCCTCATCGCTATGTAATTTACAGTTCATCCTCATAGTTAGTTGACAGTTCATACTCATAGTTAGTTAGTTGACAGTTTATCCTCATTGCTATGTAATTGACAGTTCATCTTCATAGTTAGTTAGTTGACAGTTTATCCTCATTGCTATGTAATTGACAGTTCATCCTCATAGTTAGTTAGTTGACAGTTCATCCTCATTGTTAGGTAATTGACAGATCATCCTCATAGTTAATTGACATTTCAACCACGTTGTTAATTGACAGTTCATCCTCATTGTTAGTAAAATGACAATTCATCCTGGTTGTTAATTAATTGACAATTCATCCTGGTTGTTAATTAATTGACAATTCATCCTGGTTGTTAATTAATTGACAATTCATCCTGGTTTTTAATTAATTGACTGATCATCTTCATAGTTAACTGACAGTTCATCCTCGTTGTTAATTAATTTACGTATTCGGGGTGATAATTGAACACTTCAATAAGAACCATTTGCAACCTAAGAATTAGTTGAAACTAAATAAAATGTTCAGTTGTTCATTTATTCAGGCAAAACTGTATGAGGGTCCATTACCAAAACATGAGAGCACTGCCACCCATGGTGGCAAGCGTCATCAGGTGTTCCGAAAAGCCAAAAGTGACCTAGACAACATCTTATCTGGCTACGTTCTACCGGAACCTTACTTTCGAGACAGATTGCGTGCAACTGTCGAGAAACTGATGAAATGTTTGAAGGATCCTGCACTGCCACTGTTAGAACTGCAGGTAAGACATTGAATGTCAAATTCTGTGTATTCTTTCATTGTCATCATCATCATCATATACAGGGCTAGTTTCAGGTCTTGGTCAGATATGACTGACCTACTGTGTTATAATGGGTGCCGCCATGGTATAGCGGCTAGACTGAGCCATAGTTGTTGTTTAGAAAAATGGCCTTAGCTTCCAGGTCCACCAAGCCTTTAATGAGTACCAGATGCAAGTTTGTTGGACCAGTCAACGCCACATCACCCAACAGGTTTCAATTGGTCTATAAAATAACAGGTCTAGTCCTATTTGCTCAGTACGCCTGTAAGGCAAGGAAAAGGGACTTATAGTTAGTTACTTTACTTACTGTATAATAGCAGTCGGTACTACTTGTTTTCTGTTAACTGCAGTGTTGGGGGATGTATATCAGACCTGACAGACAGACACAGAGCACTGCTTATCTGATCCAGCAGTTTATGCAGCAAACTTTATTCAAAACATATTGGTGTTACCTTTTATTTGGAGTAAACAAGAGGGATCGTGCTGCGTGGTCAACCATTGTTTCTACAATACTGCCTAGGCTTTGTGCTTTAGAAAACACAGACTTTATCCCTGGCAGTGACACATTGCCATAGGCTGTGATTCTGATACCTCCCTACAGCACAATATAACACTTTTTTTCTGGAAAGGTGGGGAAAAAACAAACATGTAGTAGGTTCTCTGCCGAATGTCACTGTCATAATGGCTGGCTGGAAATGGAAAGCCTCTCACTTCTTTTGTGAAGTTCCCCTGTCTCAGGTTTTCATTACCATGGTGATTGCAATATAGTGTGCTGGTAAACCACTGACCATTCCTTCAGCAAGTATGTATTTCGCATATAGAGGTAAAGAAGTTTAAAGTGATACATTGTGTCTTCAGGACACGTTTTTACCGGGAAACACTGGAACTCACAGGGGCATAGAAGGCATTAAAAACAGAAAACACACGGAGAAATGGAGCTAGAGAGTGAAATTAAAAAGATAGGGAATACTTGGGTGAAGTGTATGCAGTAGTTGGCTGAGGGCTGCTTTTGGGGTATAACGGGCTGAAGAATTCAGTTTTTGAGAAACAATTTTCAGGTCAGAAGTATGGGGATAGCCTGCAGTTGTAGACTTTTCTAAGTCTATAACCCTCATGTCAGACTGGTAAATAAAGGATCAGTACACTAACTGTTTGGAGTTGTGTTAATGTGGTAGGCTAGATGCCCCCTTCCAGCCCCAAGTTTTTGAGTTCAAAGTCGCATTGGGATGGATTTTTCTCTCTTTCAAATTTGACCTTGATTCCCATGTGCACCCAGCCTTGCAATGGGTACCAGATTATGTCCTGGGAAGTGAGGCACTCGGCTCACTGCTTGCCACATCACCCATTTAGTGACGAGTAACCTATTGTTTAAACAAAATGTAGGTAATGGACTGTATCCCTGATTTGAAAAGAGTCCTTTACTTTTGACTGTACCTGTTGGTGATCTCTTCCACTGGATTATTCTAATTTTTGCTGGAGTCTTAAAAAATTGTTTTTAACCGCATTTAAAACTCTCCACCTTGTGTGTGGGTGGGTGTTTTAATAAAAAGTTGGTCACAACTCTGATATGTATGTAGTTGCATCCATGCATGTTTACACCAAATCTCACAGGAGAAGAAACAGAGGCTGACAGCTAATAAAATGTGCAGTCTTACCCACTACACTTTCCACAGACTTTCCCAATACTTGGTAAAAGTAATGCATGACTATTGGTATTTTTTGCATATCATTAAAAAAAAATGTTTGCTCCTCCCAGGACCTGATATCAATGATACAAGGTCGTGTTCCCCCGCATGTTGAGAGATCTATAAGAAAACTGATGTCTTCATATGCCAGCAACATCACATCAGTGTTGTGCCAGTTTCCTAGCCAGCAGGTGAGGAAAAACCATCAATAATAGTTATTTTGCCGTGCATTAATAAACCGTTGCTAATATAATTCACTTTTAAAGCTTCTTGTTAATATCCACATTTGTGTGCTGGGGAAGACTTTTTGTTCCATTTTGTCCCTCCCCATACTGATTTCCAATCTGAATGCTTGTACTCTGACTATGGGTAAATAAAAGCCTATATTGATTTCTTAGACGGAATCTGTAAATATAAAATAAACCTTACCCAGATGCATGCTGAAGTCAGAACACGGGCATCTAAGTAAGAATGATGCATTAATAGTTGTACTGCACTTCCCTTAAAAAAATTTGAAAATAAAGATGATCTCATATGGTATCTCTGTTGGTTATTAAAGAGCTGGGCTGGATGATGCAGTAGTGTACACTGCTGGTTCTGCATATTGAGGTGAAAGATTTCCTTTTTTTTTTTTTAAGCCAGAAGGGAATTATTGTGGCAGAACAAAATTGTGCTTTTTATTTTTTTTATTTACAACTTCAAGCATGAAGATAAAAGTGGAGAATCACTGCAGCTTTGAAGTGGATAGCAGAAACAACAATTACTAGAAGAATAGTAGGGTCTGATTCTCAGGCAGTACCGTGAAAGGTTCAGACTGGACAAGCATCTCACAAGTGGATACAAAGCATCAACTCGTCAACACTACAGGGACTCACATAGATATAATATCCTCCATATGCAGGAGTGTGAGGGAATGAAAAAGCGGATTTTCTGGCTACAAAAGCTGCGGGGACACTGGTACTAGACAAAGGAGATATTCTAAAGCCCATTTATGAAGGAATGCGGATAGACTACTCAAGGTTAGATGAAATAATTTGTGTGAACAAGGAATTCAGTGTGGATTTGGCAAAAAGGGGCTTGTGAGAGGAAGAGAATGATGTGTTCAGTGTTCTACTGGACCAGTTGGCGCTTACTACACCTTCAGACATATGCAGTGGGAGATGGAGTCTCTGTGGGTATGCCTAGTGTGCAATGATGTTGATTCTTAAATCCATTAATTAATCCATCAGTCACTTGCAGTGAAACTATATATTTATTATTGAACTTTGTGAATGTGTATTTCAGATTGCCAGTGTCATTGACAGTTATGCTGCCACACTGACCAGGCGGGCAGATCGAGATGTGTTCTTTATGACATGCCAGGGCATCGTACATTTGGTTCAGCGCTACAGGAATGGGATCAGAGGCCACATGAAGTCAGTGGTGCAGGAGCTGTTGAGGCACTACCTCAGAGTGGAGCTTCAGTTTCAGCAGGGTGTGTTGCCTATACTATCTTCTATACATTGATCTTATAATTCTTCTTCACTTTCATCTCCCTGTGGAGCATAAGGGTTTCAACAGGCTGTGCTGCTGACACTGTCTTCTACTATTGATGTAATTCTTCTTCTTCACTTTTTCATCTCCCCATTGATAATATCGGTATCAGCAGGGTGTGTTGCTTACACTATTGTAATTCTTCTTCACTTTCATCTCCCTATGGAGCATAGTGTTTCATCAGGGTATGCTGCTTATACAAACTTTAACTGTTGATTTATTTATTCTTTTTTTTTTTTTTTCATTTTTCATCTCCCCGTGGAGTATAGGGGTTTCAGCAAGCAGGATATGTTGCTTGACTATTTTCTACTAGCTTCTTCTTTCGTTGTCTCACTGATACCAGGTTATACCTCAATATCATGGTTTTCTGTATGTGTCTTGAGCTACATTTTTAAAAAAACATTTTGTTGTTGTTGTTGTTGTTGCCGGTTTCATCTACACCATTAATCCATCTTTTTGTTGGTCTTTTCTGTCTTCCTCCCAGATGTTCTATTTTAAATTATCTCAAATGCAGTTTGGTCTGGCTGCATTCTCACTAGATGGCTGAACCATTTCATTCTTTGTCTCAGTATAATTTAGACACTGTCTTATCAAAACTCTCTCTAATTCTGGTATTTTTTGTCTTGTTAGTGACTTTATGGAGACAGCACATTTCACAGGTAGTTTTTTTCTGTTTGGGTGCCCTATTCTTTGTCCATATTTGGCACTGATAGCATGAAATAGGAATGAAGATGCTATTAATCATGTGCTGTTTAGCTGGAAGGGAGACATTCGGGTGTCTATGCTGTGGGCCCAAAACTTGTCGAGAGAGTTCGCTTTTTTGAGACCTTTATCAGAACTACTGTAAACATTTTCATGTATTCACACCGTAACCATGGCAGCCAACTGCTGACACATTCTGTTAACGTTGCCGCCTCTACATTTGGCTCTGGTTGTGTCAAAACCTACATCACTTAGCCTCTCAGGATCAGATTTTGTTTCAGTCCAGCATTTATAATACCACTTGATTATGTTCATTTATAACTATATACAGACAGACGGAGAAGGAAGGGTGCAAGAACATGCACACACAAAATGATTGATACTAACACAGTTGACTATCCAGCACGCTAACTATTGAATGTTTTCTTCTTGTGTTGTATTTGCTACACCGGTGTGCACTAGTATATTTTCACATTTGATCTGGTTTATTAGAATTTATACTATCATATTTTGTTTATTAATTTAAACAGACACCAGTCCTTTATGTTTCTTACTTCTCTTTCACTCAGGTTCCTATGACAAATGTGTTTGTTCCATCCGAGAGAAGAACAAGGATGACATGCTGGCTGTAGTCCAGACAATTTTCTCTCATGTAGCTGTGCAGCAGAAGAATAACTTGGTTATTATGCTTATAGTGAGTGGCTACCTTTCTGTCCCTGAATTTGTGTTAAGGGAGAAGGTGGAGAGACCAAAACCTGCTGCCTTACTGATAAAGTGGGAACTAAATAAAAAAAAATTTTTTTTTTAAAAACTCAGGTAAGGCAAATGCTGCCTTATTGATAAAGTGGGTAATTTAAAAAAAAAAAAAAAAAAAAAAAAAAAAAAAAGTCGGGGAAGGCAAACTCGAAAAGAAGAACAGTCAAATATTGTAGAATGTATTGCAGTAAACAAGGATGCTAAAAAAAAGTGGGGGGAGAGAGAGATTTTGTGGGAAGTATCTTTATTTCTTTGTAATATAAAACATAATAATTTTTAAATGCTGATCAAGTTAAATTTGTACAGGAATATAGTTAGTTTTAAATTAGTACAACAGGTTTATCGTTTCAATAATAAAGGTCAGTTGAATATTGCTAGTTCCTTGATGTATGAAATTGCAATAAAAGAATAGTTTGGTTGCGTGGGGATAATGTTTCATAAACAGTGAAGTTGCACTAGAACATTTTTGTATGCGCAGAACTGTTATGAAAAGATTACCATTGTTTTGGACTGGGAAATATTCAAGCAATTTTCTTACCTGAACAGGATTTCTTGTGTGACAAGGAACCGGGTCTGACAGATGAAATGGCATCGATCCTCTCAGAGCTGACACAACTGAACAAGACAGAAAACTCCAAAGTTGCACTGAGGGCGCGGCAGGTCTTGATTGCTGCCCATCAACCACCATTTGAGCACAGACACAACCAGATTGAGTCCATCTTTTTGTCTGCCATAGACATGTCTGGCCATGACTTCTGTCCAGAAAATCTTCAGGTATGTTTTGTTTTTCTTTGAGATAAATTAACTCACCAAAATAATCTGGGAGTGAGCAGAGTGTCTGTATGATTTTCTTTATGCAAGGGATAACACATACTAACTTTTAATTGGCTAAGAACTTGAATCTTTGGTAGGGGAAATCTTTCTTAGCTGCTGAGGAGGGGACAGAATTTGTGTGCTATGTTGTTAATTTTGTTTTATTCTTTCATTGATTCATAAAAACAATTATTTGCATTTATTAATTAAACAGACGCTTGCTTGCACATTTGAAAGCCATGTGGTCAAATCAAATGGGACCAGACTTTTTTTTCCTTTTCAAACATGACCTTGGTTTCCAGGTCGACCCAACCTTAAATGGGTAACGGTAGAAGTCTTGGGAAGTAAAGGCGGTCGGCATGGTGTTGATTATAGCATGCACTGAGTGCTGATTGGTCTATAAAATATAGGTCTAGCTCTATATTCCTGGTGTGGAAAAGGTTTCTTTATATATATATGTGTGTGTGTGTGTGTGTGTGTGTCTGGGCATGACGGAACATTTAAATCACTGAACATATCTGTGTGTGTGTGTGTGTCTGGGCATGACGGAACATTTATAACACTGAACATATCTGTGTGTGTGTCTGGGCATGACGGAACATTTAAATCACTGAACATATCTGTGTGTGTGTCTAGGCATGACGGAACATTTAAATCACTGAACATATCTGTGTGTGTGTCTGGGCATGACGGAACATTTATAACACTGAACATATCTGTGTGTGTGTGTGTGTCTGGGCATGACTGAACATTTATAACATCTGAACATATCTGTGTGTGTGTGTGTGTGTCTGGGCATGACTGAACATTTATAACACTGAACATATCTGTGTGTGTGTGTGTCTGGACATGACTGAACATTTATAACACTGAACATATCTGTGTGTGTGTGTGTGTGTCTGGGCATGACTGAACATTTATAACATCTGAACATATCTGTGTGTGTGTGTGTGTGTCTGGGCATGACTGAACATTTAAATCACTGAACATATCTGTGTGTGTGTCTAGGCATGACGGAACATTTAAATCACTGAACATATCTGTGTGTGTGTCTGGGCATGACGGAACATTTATAACACTGAACATATCTGTGTGTGTGTGTGTGTCTGGGCATGACTGAACATTTATAACATCTGAACATATCTGTGTGTGTGTGTGTGTCTGGGCATGACTGAACATTTATAACACTGAACATATCTGTGTGTGTGTGTGTCTGGACATGACTGAACATTTATAATAACACTGAACATATCTGTGTGTGTGTGTGTGTCTGGGCATGACTGAACATTTATAACATCTGAACATATCTGTGTGTGTGTGTGTGTCTGGGCATGACTGAACATTTAAATCACTGAACATATCTGTGTGTGTGTCTGGACATGACTGAACATTTATAACACTGAACATATCTGTGTGTGTGTCTGGGCATGACGGAACATTTATAACACTGAACATATCTGTGTGTGTGTGTGTGTCTGGGCATGACTGAACATTTATAACATCTGAACATATCTGTGTGTGTGTGTGTGTCTGGGCATGACTGAACATTTATAATAACACTGAACATATCTGTGTGTGTGTGTGTCTGGACATGACTGAACATTTATAACACTGAACATATCTGTGTGTGTGTGTGTGTGTGTCTGGGCATGACTGAACATTTATAACATCTGAACATATCTGTGTGTGTGTGTGTGTCTGGGCATGACTGAACATTTATAACACTGAACATATCTGTGTGTGTGTGTGTCTGGACATGACTGAACATTTATAACACTGAACATATCTGTGTGTGTGTGTGTGTGTCTGGACATGACTGAACATTTATAACACTGAACATATCTGTGTGTGTGTGTGTCTGGACATGACTGAACATTTATAACACTGAACATATCTGTGTGTGTGTCTGGGCATGATGGAACATTTATAACACTGAACATATCTGTGTGTGTGTGTGTCTGGACATGACTGAACATTTATAACACTGAACATATCTGTGTGTGTCTGGGCATGACGGAACATTTATAACACTGAACATATCTGTGTGTGTGTGTGTCTGGACATGACTAAACATTTATAACACTGAACATATCTGTGTGTGTGTCTGGGCATGACGGAACATTTATAACACTGAACATATCTGTGTGTGTGTGTGTCTGGACATGACTGAACATTTATAACACTGAACATATCTGTGTGTGTCTGGGCATGACGGAACATTTATAACACTGAACATATCTGTGTGTGTGTGTGTCTGGACATGACTGAACATTTATAACACTGAACATATCTGTGTGTGTGTCTGGGCATGACGGAACATTTATAACACTGAACATATCTGTGTGTGTGTGTCTGGGCATGACTGAACATTTACAACACTGAACATATCTGTGTGTGTGTGTCTGGGGATGACGGAACATTTATAACACTGAACATATCTGTGTGTGTGTGTGTCTGGACATGACTGAACATTTATAACACTGAACATATCTGTGTGTGTGTGTCTGGGCATGACGGAACATTTATAACACTGAACATATCTGTGTGTGTGTCTGGGCATGACGGAACATTTATAACACTAAACATATCTGTGTGTGTGTGTGTGTGTCTGGATATGACTGAACATTTATAACATCTGAACATATCTGTGTGTGCGTCCGTGTGTTTTCATTTCTACAGATGTCATCTATGTTCAGTCAGGGCCGAAGACACACAGACATATATATATATATATATATATATATATATATATATATATATATATATATATATATATATATATATATATATATATATATATATATATATATATATATATAGGTTTGTATGTATGTAGGCAATGTAGCCCATTGTGAACCTTTTTTTTTAATCGTTTAAACTAGCAGTATGTTATATTGAAAAATAATGCTTATCAATTATAATGACACCTGTATTTGTTAAATTTTCTTTTCTGAAAAATTAGAAATTGATAAATTCAGAGACAGCGATCTATGATGTTCTGCAAGAATTTTTCTACCATTCAAATGAGGCTGTGAGAAGGGCTGCCCTGGAGGTATGTTGGGAATTAATGCCCTTTGTTCTTAGTAGTTATTTTTTTCCCTTTCATCGATCACAACCTCTGTTTCCTTTATCTGGATTAAACTGTTTTTGGTTTCTTTGCTGTTGTGCTCAGGTTATCAATGTAATATTGAAGTTGTCCATGTGATGTGGTTGTCGTAGTGATAATGCAGTTTGTCTTTGTCATGGGATATTGTAATTCATCTTTGGTACAGGTTGAAATGGCTTGATATTTGAAGTGATATTTGAAATGGTCTTGGCTGCAAACTTCAACTGCTCCAACATGCTGAGAGAAGAAATACAATCTGGAAAAAAGTATACAATGCCTTTCAGCATCTGCTAAAGTCAAAGTGTCTGTCTCGCAACACCAAGATCAAAATATTTAAATGTTGATAAGACCAGTTGTTTTATATGGCTCTGAAACTTGGAGCACAACTAAAAGAGTTGAAGCCTTATTACAGGTTTTCGAGTCTTACCACGAATCTTTGGACCCATTAAAGATGCAAACAATGGGGAATGGAGAGTGAGAAGCAGTAACAACATTCATAATCTGTTTAAATCACCACTGATCACTGGCATCTTGAGAGCTAATAGACTGAAATGGTTGGGGCATATTGAAGGATTGTCAGATGACAGAGAACTAAAAACTATATACAAGGGAGATAGATGAAGGGTCATAGACCACGAGGCAGATCAAGAAGACAATGGAGAGATAATGTCGAGACAGACCTGCAAACACTTGGTGTCACCAGCTGGAAAGAGAAGGCCAACTAGAGATATGAATGGAGGCCGGTGATATCTGCAGCAGTGAACCTCAAGGGCTCGGAATGAAGAAGAAGATATATTGATTCATCTGCATATGTGACTTAGGGCGTTGCTAACATGCTTCGTAATGCCAGTGTTCCGGGTTTGATCCGTGCTGCGGGCCCTATATTGGTTTTGACCGTGGTATCGAGAAGCCGACCATCCAGAAGAAATGGCAAACTACTGGACATAAATCTGCCTAGAAAAACCACAACAGCCCAAAAAAAAATGCTGAGATTGGTTCTGCAATGTCCTGTAAAGGTTACGCAACTTACTAAAATAGTGAATGACCTTGGCTCCAAGGTCGGCCCAGCCTAAAATGGGTCCCAGATAAATATTTTGGGAGGTAAAGGTGACCGACATGGTGTTGACCTCATCCCTCACTGCCACTGGCATTGAGGGTCCTTTAATTACTTTTCTTCTGTTTATTGACTTCATTTTGCAAGCATCTTCACATGTTTATCAAATGCTGTTCTCCTTGATGAGGTTGGTCAAGCCATTTGCCTCTCAAACTGAAGAATGTATCTATATCTATTTTTAAGCTGGGCTATGTGATTCTTCGGCTCCTCTTGTGATTTCTGGGGCCCAGTTTTGGGGAGAACAAAGAATAAACCCACAGCCTTTCACTTGTCAAGCATGGCCTAAAAGGCATCTAATTAAGTTAAATATTTGATGAAATCATATTTCTCGGACTGAAAGTCGCAGATACACAGCTTGGCTGTAAACCAAAGGGTGCTAATGCCCTTTTAAGGAAGAAATCAACAGAGGTAGATTTTGAAACTAATTTTTCTTTTCACAAATACGAGGATCATTCCTGTAGTTTAAGAGGTATCATTTATTATTATGTTTTTTTTTTTACCAACAGCCACTTTGTATGTTATGCCATTATTTCAGGTGTACATTCGACGAGCCTACATAGCTTATGAAATGAACTGCATGCAGCACAGCCAGCTTGATGATGGGAGGTGTGTTGTTGACTTCAAATTTCTCTTGCCACGATCTCATCCAAACAGGTGAGTGGATGTAGCCATGACAAATATGCGTTGTTTCTGTACTGGTACATAGCATTACTCAGCATTTTTTCTCTTTATAGTCTGGAGCAGTGGTTTTCAAACAGGAGCAAGGAGGTTTGGGGGGGGGGGGGGGGGTTGCTGGGAACCAAGGTTAGTTTAAAAAAAAATCTTCCCTGTATACATTCAGGGCCATAGCCATAGCCATTGAGATATATCAGGTGTGTTATAATTTTTGAGTTTTATTTTGACATCTTGCTAGTCAGGGCCAGTAGAATAAGGTTTTATGAGACCCATTTGTTAGACCCTCATTAGCTGGACATCAAATAACACAGCCGAGCTTTGTAGAGAAACAACTCCCCACCTCTTCCCAACCAAAGTGGAAGATGGGCACAGGAGTGATTGTGCTGTGCTTGGGATGAGATGGGGCCTGGTTTATTTTTTTAAATGTATTCTTTGGTATTAATTTTTTCTTTTAATGTGTTTTTTCAAGCAATCCTACCATTTGGCAGTTGACCCGTTAGACAAATTATAATTGGTAGTTCTACTGCCTGTGTGTCTGTCTGCCTATCTCCTCCCCCCTCTCTTTGTCACTCTTACTCCCTTCATATCTCTCTTTCTCTCTCTTTCTGCTGGTCTCTCCCTACGTCTATGTATCTTTGTATGCCTGTATGTCTCTGTTAGTGTTCCTCTCTGTACCCCTGTAGCCTCGTCATCTAACTTGGCATTATGAATTGTCAGGATGATGGTGACTCGGTTTGACTCAGGCCTGCTTAGACTGAACAGCATGGACAAGGATTCTGGCTCAGATTCTGACCAGTGGGATGAACCACCAATATGCCAGCGGATGGGCATCATGGTAGCGTTTCCTAACATGGCAGAGCTTGAGAAGTGAGTTGTAGTTCTATGTGTGTCAGTTGTCAACTACATTTTAATGTTTTGAGAATCTTGTCAAAATGATTAAATGTAGATGTTGAAAGAAGTTGTCATGAAGGTAACACCATAGTCAGTCAGTTTTTGGGGCCACATGATGGGGGAAAAAAAAGAGAGTAAAAAATAATCTATGTTCTATTAAAATGTGCATAAAACAAAAAACACCCCCCCCCCCCCTTCCCCCCCCCACCCCCCACCCCATGATTAAATGTAGATGTTGAAAGAAGTTGTCATGAAGGTAACCCATAGTCAGTTAGTTTTTGGGGCCACATGATGAGAAGAAAAAGATTGTCTATGTTCTATTAAATTGTGCATAAAACAAACAACCCCCCCCCCCAGCCACCCCCCCCCCCCCCCCCCCTCCCCAATCCTTTATTTTTAACTTTCATTGATAACTATTACATTTGCTGCATATTTAATTTTTTTTGGGTCTAAATGTTGAACATAAAATGGGATGAATTCAAAAGTGGAGAGGAAATTAAAGAAATGTCCAGGCAGCCACTAGTAACAGCAGTTGAGACAAAGATGATGTCACTATTTTGGACACATCCTGAGAAGAAGCACTTATAACAGACACGTTACACCCCAGTAATAATGATACTTGGCACAGGCAGTAACAGGGATACTCTACACCTGACTGGCAACAGTATATCACACCTCAGTGACAGGGATTCTTCACAGGTCGAACACTTATGGTCATGTGTGATTAGGTTGTTCTCAGAAATGAACAATGAACAGAAATGACTAAAGGTACATTGTGTGATGTGATATTATCCTCAGATATTTTTACGCCATTCTGGAAAGATTCCACTCCCTGACACCTCCAGGCAGTCCTTTGATCTCTGACGTGGATGATGACAGTGCATCTATGCATTCTGGTTCTGTAAGTTCAATCATTTTTGTAGCGGTCATGCGAAAAAGAATGTGCTGTTTACTGTGGGTGCTTTTGTTGTTGTTTGAGAACCCCTCATCAGGTAACAAGTGTATTATATGTAACAAGTATATTGTCTGTAACAAGTTATGAGTTGGATTATCTTCACAGCACATCGGACACATTCCTAGGTGCTCAGATTCCTCCTTCAACATATTCATCAGCGTTGCGTGGTTAATAGTGCCAGTCCAGTGCTGGTTGACAAGACTTCATGTGCGCCCGGTGTGCTTCTCATGCTTGACTGTGCCGACTTTTACTAACCATTTCCGGCTAGCATCAGCCCACTTGCCGGTTTTGTTCTTTTCACCTGTCATCTGGTTTCTACAAATGAAAATTCCACAACAGGACGCTGATGAAACGCTCATAGGAGACCGGGGTAACAAGTATATTATATATAGCAAGAATATTATATGTAACAAGTATATGACCCTTTTGCTGCCAATAATGCATTATGCATATGGCAAGAGATCCACATTTTTTTAATAGACCAAATCAGCACTCAATGTGTCTGGTAGCGTTTTCAGCTACTCATCTTATACTAGGTTGACCGGAAGTCAAGGTCAGTTTAAAAAAAATGCCTCAGTGTGGATTTGAACCCAGAACCTTTGGACTGATAAGCAAGAGTCAGCTACTGCACTGCCGTGGCTCATTCTAATTTAACGTCCTTGAAAGATTCATTGTAAAAAAAAAAAAGTTGTAGTCCCAAAGCAGATGCCTTTTTTTAGGCACGATCTGATCATCACCAATTTCCACTTCTGCCGTTAGGCATCATGGGCAGGAACAGTTTGCAGTCCACTGCTTGATGGTTAGCAATGGCTTTTGTCCTTCCTTGCTGATGTAGAAGCTCTTTAATGTCATCAGTCCATCTGATGTCTTATAGCGGTTATATGTATACATCCACCAGACTGTTACATAAGAAAATATTAATTTGAGATCAGTGACAAATAGAAGGTAGCTTTTAGTCCATTTCATAAATTTCCATTCTGTTGCAGAATGTGTCTGAATACACTTCGGATGACCCTACTCATATTATCAACATTGCCATCAAACAACTGGATACAAATGATGATGATCGCCTGGCCAGCTTGTTCCAGGACTTTTGCCGTTCAAGGGTGAGTTTTACTACTATCAAGTTGTAGTTCATGCGTCTCGGCAGTTTATAATTCAATTGCTCCTCGTAGGTACTGCAACTAACTAATGACATTTAAAAAAAATTATTATTTAAAAAAAAGTATGTAAAGATGACTGTTATCCGTTATATAATTTGTTTCATTTTGTTATTTATTCAACAGGCCAAAGCTTTGAATGAGCGAGGAATCAGAAGAGTGACTTTTGTTGTCTCCAACAGCGTAAGTTCTGACATTGATACTGTAGGGAGCTCTAGAGCAGTGTTCTTGCTATAAACTTTTTTTTTTAAAGTTGTAAATAAGTTTTTTTTTTCTTCTTCTAACGTTGGTGCCACATTGGCTACAAGATGCTAGATATTTTTTAAATTTTTTTTTGTCAGACTTGATGGGGGATTTGTTTGAAATCATGCTGGCTGCTTTTTCTTTCCAGGGTTTTACCTAGTATCCAGTTTAGACTGGGTTGACTGCAAACCAAGGTCATTTTAATAAAAAAAAAAAAGGCCTGCTTCAGTGCAGATTTGAACTCTTGACCTTTGGGCCAGCAGATTATTGCAGTTGCAATAAGTTATTTTTTTCTATTGTAGTCTGTAAATTAGAAGCACACTCTTATATACTTTCTGTCAACCAATAGCACGTCATGATTTATCTTTGTGTCTTATTTTCACTCAGATTGTTTTCATACCTCTTTTTATCTTCTCCTTTTCTCTCATTTATGCCTGTGTCCCGATACATCTCACTTTATATCTTTGTGTCTTACTATTTGTCTTTCCCCCTCTTTCACTTAATTTTCCTGTCCCTCACTAACTCTTTTTTTATATCTTTGTATTTTTTACTATTTTTCTTTTTTTCCCCTCATGATTGACTTTTTTAACGTGTCATTATCCTATTTATTTATGTGGTTCTATTTCTTTCTTCTCTGTTCAAAAATAACTACACTGAAATAAATGCACACATATAAGCTTTTGAGTTCTTATTGACATCATACTATTTTTTTTAATTTCAGAGAGCTATTCCTAAATATTTCACCTACAGGGCAAAGTTTGAAGTAAGTGTTAACAAATGATAGTTATTTATATATTAACCTTTTGAAGACCGCCATGGTTTCCATTGTCAAGCTGCTGGTGGTGGCAACAAAGGCAATGCTGCCTTCTTTAATGATTTTATCTTTTTGTTCTTGCTGTAAACACCCAATCACTTTGCTTGTGACGAATTACAGAACCAACAGTTGAACTAAAACTGTGTTAGAATGCCTGTACAGTGGCAACCAACAATTCAACTGAAACAGTGTAAGGATACCTGTACAGTGGCAACCAACAATTCAACTGAAACAGTGTAAGGATACCTGTACAGTGGCAACCAACAATTCAACTGAAACAGTGTAAGGATACCTGTACAGTGGCAACCAACAATTCAACTGAAACAGTGTAAGGATACCTGTACAGTGGCAACCAACAATTCAACTGAAACAGTGTAAGGATACCTGTACAGTGGCAACTAACAGTTCAGCTAAATTTAATTCTGAGCCTGCTCTTTTCTTCAGGATAATAATCCTTCATGAAAATGAATATATCAGACAAAATAAGGAAAGCACCACCCACTCACCCCAACATGGGAGTTGGCATTGTGTTTTCATAATGACTTTCATGCTCCTCATTATAACCCTGGATATAATGGCAGTCCTCGTCGTTTACCAGGGTTTGATTCCCACAGTGGGTAGTTCAGGAAAATGCTATTCTAGTGGCTTTGAGACAGTGGCATGAGATTCACACTGTGGAAAGTATTTGGGTCTCACCACGTAATATTTCCATAGATAGCAGGGGATGCATTTCAACCAACTTATATTGTTGAGGCTGTAGAATTTGTCTATAGGGTTTTTGAAAAAAGGGGGACACAGCAGCTTTTAATTTATTTATTCTTTCTTTATAATTATTGTTGGCACCTTACCTTCTTTCCAGACGATAGTGTTGTATTGCACTTTGGGGAGGCATGTGACTCACAGCCCATGGCAATAGTGAGCATGACTAGCAAGACCCGCTAACTTTGAGAAAATTAGAGCATGCGATTTCAGGACCATTATTGCCACCAAATGTATTTCACTTTCTTTGTTTATAAAGAGAATGTATAAATGAGATTTAATTGTCATGTATAACCCTCTCCCAACAGTTCTGTGAAGATCGTATCTACCGGCATCTGGAGCCTGCTCTGGCATTCCAGCTAGAGATCAATCGGCTGAGGAATTTTGATCTGGAGGCAATTCCAACGGCAAACCTGAAAATGCACTTGTATTTGGGGAAAGCTAAGGTCAGTTAGCTGAGAGTTACTGCTGAGGCATTTTTACAGTAGGAATGTGTTCTGTTAAAGGAACTGTTGATAGAGTGATGTATGGAACTAGTCCTATAGTAGGAAATATAAGTAGAGTGATGGCTGGAGCTAGTTATGTAATATGAACTGGCTAGAGTAATGGCTGGAGCTAGTTCTATAGTAGGAAATGTAGATAGAGTGATGACTGGAGCTAGTTATGTAATATAAACTGGCTAGAGTAATGGCTGGAGCTAGTTCTATAGTAGAAAATGGGGCTAGAGTGATGTCTGGAACTAGTTCTATAGTAGGACCTGTGGCTAGAGTGATGACCGGAGCTAGATCTGTAGTAGGACCTGTGGCTAGAGTGAAGCATTAAGTGGAATAAATTTCCCGGGGCCTAAAACAAATACGTATGGAGTACCCAAATTGTGACCCCATGACTTCGATCAGTGAGGCATTTTTAGTTTATAAATTCATATATGGACCCTTTGAACACATTGCTTCTTGGGACATGACCTTATACAGCTATTTTGAAGAAAAAATCTAACTCATCACAGATTTGAATCTTAGACCTTCAGGCTGGCAAATAAGTGTCTAGTCACTACACTGCCTTGGCGCCCATGAGGGTGTTCAGATGATTCAATTTTTTAAATATATATATATTTTTAAATCTTCATTTCTCAGGTGGCAAAAGGACAAGAGGTGACGGACTATCGCTTCTTTGTTCGGTGCATCATTCGACACTCTGATCTTGTCACTAAGGTATTGTCCTAACATCATTTATCATATCTGTTTCAGTCAGTTGTCACATTACATAACTTTGTATTAAATATATACAGTAACCTCAAATAATTGTAACTTTAAGCCACACCCTATCAGAATTGTCTGGAATAGTAAAAGTTAAATTGCAGTTTTCATAAAATGTATTATGTTGTTAATTATCCTAATAGAATAATTACTTGCATTTAAAAAATGCCAAAAAAAGATTTAAATGTCTTTGAAATGTTTGTGCATTAATTGCCTTTAGTAAAACCTCGTTAACATGAGTCCCGTGGGACCAACAGATGAAGAGATCATCTAAAATAAATGTGTGCTAACTGTGGACTAATAGATTGATCATTATCATCATCATCACATGCCCTGCCGACTGGCTTAGGCCTTCATGCATCTTCACACATTTCGGTCCCTTGTCCTCTCGATCAGTTCCACGGATGAAATCTTTCGGTGCTACGGCCGTAATCTCTCTTGATCTTCCCAGTGATTAAATTATTCCCCCCCCCCCCCCCAACCCTCCCCCCACTTTCAAATAGATTATAAATAATGTTAACCGATTGTTTGTATTAATTGATTTAGTGTTAGGTTTTACTGTATAACAATAAGGGGGGAGAAAAAAGATTCACATTTAATCTTTCTTCAAAATATATTTTCTGTTTATGTTCATCTTTCGTCCTGATAATTCTTTAAAAAAAAAAAATGTCATGACCCTGGATCGAAAATGAAAATTTTTTTTTTTTTTTAACACGGTCACAAATAAATACATACAAAATTTATTATCCACAATTTAAAATTATTTTAATATATATATAAAGATAATTGGTAATCAGTAAGCACATACAGAGTGACACATATCAGGCTTGAAAAAAATTCCATGTAGTGCGAAAATGTTAAATTGTTAGTTCATTTATTAAAATCCTGACCTCCTGAGTGTTTATGCAGGCGCAGCCACTTGCTTTAATTATACATTGCATAAACAGATCATGAATTTAGGCAATTTGGAAAAGTGACATTTACGGGGAAATTGGACCCAGCCGAAGGTGTCGATTTTTGAGCTTTTCTGTGTGAAAAGATTAAGCAGACATTGGATTTACTTCCTTGTATGCCTCATTGCTATGGTATATCTTTGATGTCTTCATATGTTCTGAAAGTGTTCATCTTTTTTACAGGAGGCATCCTTTGAGTATTTGGAAAACGAAGGAGAGCGAACACTTTTGGAGGCTATGGATTCGCTAGAAGTAGCTTTCTCTCATCAGAGTGTAAGTTCAAATTTCCAAATTTTGTTTCTCTTTCTAGTTTTCTTTGAAATACTATTTTTACTTCACAGTTAAATTGTTTGTTGTAAATCTGAGTCGTGAAAACAGTTTTTTAAATAAAGGCGGGTCATGAGATTTCACCTTTCGTTGTCTCTGGCTCATCTGTTTTCACCATTTTTACTATCTTTAAGTCATGAGTTTTTACCATTTCTATTGCCTGTAGGTCATGAGTTTTCACCACTTAAATTTTTTTTCTGGGTCATGAGTTTTCACATTTTTGTTGTCTTTGGCTCATCTGTTTTCACCATTTTTATTATCTGTAGGTCATGAGTTTTCACCATTTAAATTTTTTTCTGGGTCATGAGTTTTCAAATTTTTTTGTCTTTGACTCATCTGTTTTCCCATTTGTTTGAAATTAAATCTAATCTTTGAAATTTTTTTTTTCTTAAGGTCATCAGCTTGCACCATTTTAATTATCTTTAGGTTATCTGTTTTCACCATTTTTACTAACTCTGGCACATTTCACTCTTTTCGTTTTCCAATGGTCAGAATTATTTTTTATTAGGTTAATTCCATTATTTTACTATAGTAACATTGTGAAATTATTCAGACCAGCATTAAGTTCAGAAGTAATTCATAATTTAATTACCCTGCACTGTAAGTTATTTGACGATATTTCATTGTATGACTGTCACAATTTCAGATCTCATCTGATGTTGTAGCGCAGAAGGTACCTTTAGCCATTCAGTTTCTAGTTTTACAGTTCTGTGTTTCAAACTGGCAGTTGTCCTTTTTCTTTTTAGATGAAAGTATATTTGCCTGAAAGCATCATCAAATAAATCTGACGATTTGTTTTTAATTTTTTGAAAATTGTCTGCAATAATTGGTGTTTTATTAATACAAACAAATGAAAAAGGCTGCCTTGAATCCATTTTTATGCACATAAAAAATTTAATTGATGATTTGCTTGTGTTGAGTAGAAGGAAACTTTTTAAGATAAAAAATTTCAAGAACTGCTGTGATTATCTGCATCAGATAGGAAAATGAGCACACAACGTCCAAAAAAAAAAAAAAAAAAAAATTTATGAATCAAGGTTTGCTGTATACTATTTTTTTAAATGAATGATTCATGGTTTGCTGTGTATTTGTTGCTTTCATTCATACGTTTAATATTGATAGTTTTAATTTTGAGTCTTCCTGTTTTTTTTTTTTTTTTTTTTTTTTTTAGTTTGCAACTGAGATTAGGTTACTGTTCATGTATGAAAGGCTGTGGGTTGTTGGTTTCTGTCCCTTGTGTGGGTCCCAAGACCCCCAAAATAGGGTGGGGAGGGGGGGGGGGGAGGAGATAGACCCACTTCCCCCTAACAAGCTTGTCGTAAAATCAGAACTTATCTGCCAGAGTTTACAGCCAGTGTGGCTTAGAAGAAGAAAAAGAAATGTTGGTTTCTGAATAAAAAAATGCTTTAGTTCTCAGAAAAGGCATTTATGTTGTAGATATCTGATATGTTTTGCTCTCCTTGTGGGTTCCTGGATACTGTTTGGGGGGGGGGGGGGGGGGGGGGGGGGGGGGGGGGGGGTGGGGGGGAGAAAAGAATAGACGTACTTCCCCCAAAACAAGCATGTCTTTAAGGGCGACTAATTAAAGCTTTGTTAAAATGGAATGTGTTGGGCTGAAAGGCGCTGATATCCCAGATTAGCTTTTAACTACAGCTGCCTTTTTTTTTTTAAGGAGGAAGGCAGAACAACAACAACATATATTGTTTTGCATTTAGTATTTTGATTGAGTTATGGGAACCACAGTCGTGTAGTGGTTAGACATTTCACTTGGTGACCTGAAGGCCGTGGTTTCTAATCCATACTGGCCTTACCTGCCAGGTTGACCCAGCCTTAAATAAGTACCAGGTAAAGTCCTGGGAATTTAAAAAAAAATGTCCTACAGTAGAACTGCAGCTCACTGCTGATGCTAGCAGTCCGTTACAAAAGCTGGCATTCTACATGCACACACCTGCCTAATCACACACCATTCTGAACCTTATACATACCTTATTATATATTTTAAAATTTCAAGCAAGAGCTCTTTTTTAATGATTAACCCTTTCGGTACCAAGCAGATTAAGCTTTAACTCATCCTTACTTACTATTGTTTTGTGTTTTTCCCCAGTCAAAGAAAACAGACTGCAATCACATCTTTCTGAACTTTGTGCCAACGTTGACTTTGTCAGAGCCTGGCAAGGTGAGAAAATTTCTAATGTCTTAAACGTGATAAACTGAAATCCCTGCTCAGAAGTGGCCTAGGGTGAACATTATTTTTATATCAGCTGTGTTTACCCACCCTAGCAAGAGTTAGAAACTAAGCCTAGGATGAACATTATTTTTATATCAGCTGTGTTTACCCACCCTAGCAAGAGTGAGAAACTAAGCCTAGGATGAACATTATTTTTATACCAGCTGTGTTTACCCACCCTAGCAAGAGTTAGAAACTAAGCCTAGGGTAAACATTATTTTTATACCAGCTGTGTTTACCCACCCTAACAAGAAGTAGAAACTAAGCCTAGGGTGAACATTATTTTTATATCAGCTGTGTTTACCCACCCTAGCAAGAGTTAGAAACTAAGCCTAGGGTAAACATTATTTTTATACCAGCTGTGTTTACCCACCCTAACAAGAAGTAGAAACTAAGCCTAGGGTGAACATTATTTTTATATCAGCTGTGTTTACCCACCCTAGCAAGGAGTAGAAACTTATCACCTTCCCAATAAAACACCTCCACAAAGTCAGCATCAACAATTTAATTATCAGGGACCTGACCTACCTAGAAAGAATTGATGATTCCGTGGAAATCAGACTGCATCTGAATGAGAGACAAGGATCGAAAGTGCACACAGGTAGATCTGGAGCATGGATGTGCTGATGATACTTTAAGTCCTGGAACAAGCCAAAGTGCAGACATAGTTGACAGGTCAGGACTTTTTGCCTGAGTTCACGGTCAGTGAGCACTAGGAAAAAGGAGGACTGCTGATGTTTGCAAAAGAAGATAGTGTTTGGTTCAGAGTGAATTAAAAAAGATAAATCTTATTGGTTAAATTGGATACTTATTACATCTGTTAATATTTTTGAGTTGGATACCTGCCATAATTAAGGATTCAGCTGTTAGATGATAATTGGGATCTCGCCTTTGAACAGCTGAGATGAATGTTTACTTTCAGGTATTACATTTATTGCTCTTCTCCCATGCAAACTATACAGCTAGTCATCATAGACAAGGTTTCTATTTTTCTCCTGTGCTAGCAGTGTTGGGACAGGGTGTTACTTATTTGTTCTTTACTTTCAGAATGGCATGCACTTATGAAGTATTTTGTGTGCAATGGCTGGCATTCGTGATTGACTACTTGCATCAGCATTAATCTGCAGTTCTGGTGGGAGACTGTTAGTGTTGGTACATCTGATGGCTGCCTTATGCATTTACTTTGCATGTGCGAGCTTCAGAATTTTCCTGGATTTTTTTCTAGTATTGCAGATAGGACAGTGAAGGGCGTTTTATTGTTTCTCTCCCACCCCCCCCCCCCCCCCCCCCCCACTAAACAGGAACGGAGCTGTAATAGAACTACCCGACTGAAATGAAGTTGAACCTCAGCTCTTGACCTCTTACTTTGTAATCTTATTTGGCAGTCACTGATACTGTTCACAAATCTGTCTCCGCATTCCAGTGTCTCCACTGTCTGCATGCTCCCTACCATTCTTTCCCTTCCAGTGTATCATCATGCCGAATGTAATTAATGAGTGATAAATAAGGGCTATGAAAAGCCAAAATGTAAAACAGTCATGTGTGTCTGATATTGTGTTACTTTTCAAATCAAGTTTGTCATATTTGGTTTTGTTGATTTGGCTATTTTCTCTCTTTCCCTCCTGCCACATTTATTTAACTTTGATTCATTATTTATGCGCGGCGTCCGTGGCTTAGGCGTTGCGAGTCCGACTCGTAATCCAACGTACCGTGATCGAAACCCACTGCTGGCTGCGTGGATTTTTATCATGGTATGGGGCGTCGCAGGTCGACCCAGGCTAAAATGGGCACCAGGATGGCTGTCCTGGGAAAGTAAAGACGGCCGGCGTAATGCTGACCATATTACCCATCCAGTGCCGATTGGTCTGTAAAAATATGGGACGCTCTTCCCATATGCCCGATGTGCCTAAGGCGTGAAAGGGACCTTTACTTTTTTTTAAAAACATTATTTATGTGCAGAATTATGTTTATGACACACCCGCGCACACATACACATTTATAAGATAACTAGCAGTAACCACCACTCTTTGCTGTGGCTCAGTCTGGCGAAATGGAAAAGAAATAAAAATAGAACGCACACGTGTCTAATATGGTTAAAATCACAATCGTTGACTGCGCATATATACAGATAGTCTGATTTGCTGATTCTAGAACACGCAGCATATAAGTGTCTTTATAGTGGTGGTGGTTTAAATTGTATTATTATGACTTGAAAAGATAGTTTTTTTTATGTGTACCAATTTAAAAAAAAATTTTGAACAGCTGAAAGTAAAGTTTACTACTGTATTTATAAACGAATGAAAGACTCGGGCCCCCCCCCCCCCCCACCCCCCCCCCCCCCCCCCCTCATCCCCCCAAAAAAAAACTCAGAATAGCTGAGGAAGCTTTATGAAAATATAAATAATTCATAAAAATTAGAACTTTTAAATAGTATTTTAAGCTCAGTTCAAAACATGATTTAATCTCTCTCAGTTAACAGTGATTGTCATCACCACCACACCCACACCAACTTCACGTCTTTTCCTCTCAGAAGGATTTGAAATTCATCACCTGACGATTTTAGTTGACCTTGACATCCATGTACACCCCCACCCCCCTCTTTCTCCCAAATGCACCGACTACTCCTCTCGCCCTCACTGAAGGGTGAGCGTAAATAACAACTTGCATTGTGAAGGCAGCAAAGAAGAAAAATTAATTGGATCGCCTGAAAACAAAACCAAGATGCCGATGTGATCGTCACTGGAGCTGTGTAGTTCATGCCTTGTGCAAAACTTCAAAATAAAAACAGGCATGTAAGGAAATGCAACATTGTGTGACATTTTCAAAGTAATTGGTGAAAACCTTTAGGTAGCTTCACGCAGGGGTATGAGGTCAGCAGTCAAAGGCTGCCCACCAGCGGAACTAAAAACAATTCCAGGCCGGCAATGAAACAAAAACCGATGTGATCGTTGCTGTAGCTATGCAGTTCGTGGTTTGTGCGACACTTAGCTATTACAACCAATGGAAATTTACAATGTTATATATTTAAATAAATTACATTGAAAATATAGTTTCATAAATTTCTGGATTAACATTAGAGTAGTTGATCAAGAGTCTATGTTCCACCTGGGGGGTCAAGACCAAAGAATAGTTTCACAATTTACTTGCAGCTATAAAGTTCTGGAGGTTGTTGTACATTGTAGCTGACTGTTTCTTATATTTGCTTCCCACAGGATCAGCAACCAAATTGGTGGAACTAGTTTCCCCATCAGAGTGTTCATCACCAACGAAAGTGGGTACTATCTGGACATCAGTTTATACAGAGAGGTCACTGACCCCAGAACTGGCCAGGTGGGTTGAAACGTTCATTCCTTATAAAAGTGGTTCCCAAACTGTGCGCCACGGTGCCCCAGGGAGCTGTGACCTCCGCACAGGGGTGTAGCGAAACATTCTAAATATTCAAAGATACACAAGTTTTATTTGTTTTGATCTCTTACGTACAAATAGTCATACTTTTACTTAGGTTAGGGCGCGTGGACAAATTTTAATTTTTTTTAATTTTAAAAAAGTCTTTGCGACTAAGAAAGGTTTTGGAAACACTGCCATATAACTGTGGTAACCATACGACCACTCCCTAATTGTTGTTGTGATTGTAATTCGACCTATGCTTGTGTAATATTCATTTCTGTTCATTTCCATGGTTTGAGATGAATTCTGTCTGTATTCCACATTTATGGATTTCAAGCTGTATGTTAGATTTGGCTAACAAAGACCACCCTTTTTAGGGTTGACTAGTTGGCATGTGCTTAGTGTTTTCATTCATCATCTCTAAGGGACAGGTTCGATTCACAGCACGATAACTATGATGTTCGATTTGATTTTGTTGTTGTCTAATGTGTCCTTCTGTCTTTTTATTTTTTTCTTTGAGTGCCGATCAGTACATTGCCTGTATGTTTATTGTATGTATAATGATTCTACCGCCTCAAGGGTTCTGTTTATTTCTGTCCACTCCCTGTGTGGTTTCTGGGGCCCCATTTTTAGGGCAGAAGAATAGACACCCTTACAGGCATGTGGACAGTGACGACTAATTAGGGGTGTTTCCGTCAAAGCCAGAGTGCATCTGCCTGAGAGGTGATTAACCAACAGTCTGCATACAAATAAGTCACATATATGAAACAAATATGCTCAGGTTCTGGAACAACAAAGAAAGTCCAGAAGTGGAGGAACAGCCAGAACTTTCTGCCTGATTGTACTGACTGTGAACGTGAAAGAGAAGAACAGCCTACACTATGAGGGTAAAATAGATGCTTTCAGAATGTTCTTTTATAGACGAGTTGGGATAGAATATAATGGCAGGAGAAGATAAGTGACAAAGAAATATTGCCAATCCTGAGAATTTAAAATAAAACATTACTGATATGACCAAAGACAGCTTAGCTACTTCGGCCATATAAAGAGGCAAACTCCTTTAACCCTCTCATCCTCGAAACCTCTTGGTTAAAAAAAATCCAGAAGCCAGGAATCCCTGAAAAAAATCCTTAAACAAATAGGGCTCCAATATTTAAAGATTATTTTTTTTAAATATACAATAACTTTTATATATATATATATATATATATATATATATATATATATATATATATATATATATATATATATATATATATATATATATATATATATATATATATACATACATATATATATATATATATATATATATATATATATATATATATATATATATATATATATATATATATGTATGAGTAACAGTAAATACAAATGGAGCATTGAATTAGACAGTTACATTTCCTTAGGCTTAAAAAAATGTATGTGAGATTTCTATTCTGACCTCGATAATTATTTCCTGACCTCTTAAACCCGGTGCAGACACAAACAGAACCAATTTTGTTAATTAAGATTGCCCGGTACTGGGCAGATGCACCAGTGCCAGTTAAGCAACTTTTCAGGGATTTTAAATGGACAGAAATATCAGGTTTGCGGCATCTCAGTGTGAGTGAGTTGATTTCAAATTTGGCAGTCATTCATCCAGCCTGCTCTTTCAAGTTTTGTCTGTTGAGAAATTATTGAGCATCGGCTGCATACAGGCATGAATTCCTCTTTTCAGCTTGCTGTGAGAACTTTCTAACTGTTGCTGTCCTTTTTATTTGCATCCCCTTGCCTTATTTCTCTGCATAAGAGTTTGTGTATGCATGTATGTCTGTTTAAACCCTTAGGAAATATTAATGTGTCATCATCATCATCATCAGTTTCCACTTCTGCTGTTAAGTGTTGTGGGGAGGAACAGTTTGCTATTCATTGCTTGATTGGCACCAGTGGCTACTGTCATTATGTGTTGATGTAGAAGCTCTTTAATGTCATCAATCCATCTTCTCCTAGGATGGCCTCTTGCTTTCACTTCAGATCCTTTCATGTGTAACGCCTGCATTGGTAGTTGTTCTGGGCTGCATCCATATGTAAAAAGTATTTTTTAAATGTCTCAGTAGTAAAATGAATTCACTGTAATGATTTGGCTGTAACTACAGATCATGTTTGAGGCATATGGAGAGAAGCAGGGCCCTCTGCATGGCCTGTTGATCAGCACCCCTTACTTGACCAAGGATCATCTGCAGCTGAAGAGGTACCAAGCCCAATCATCAGGGACTACCTATGTGTACGACTTCCCAGAGATGTTCAGACAGGTATGTGTAGGACAGAGATCTGTGAGTTTAACAATCAGCGCCTATCTTTCAGATACATCAGTCATCTTCATCGGGGTGTAAGATCTGGCTGGGGATTTACAGTTAGAAAGAATGGAAAAATTTTGGCAGAACAAAACAGAGCTTTTTTTTAATCTACAACTTTAAGTATGAGAATCGAAGTTGAGGCAGTCACTGCAGCTCTGAAGTGGAGAGCAGAAAACAAAGTTACCAGGGGAATTATTGTGTCTGATTCTCAGTCGGCATTGCGGAAGGTTCAAAATGGACTAATGTGGCATGAGTGGATACCATGTATCAGTATGACAACATTGCAAGGAATCACGGTGATATACTGTCCGGGAATGCAGGAGTGCGAGGGAATGACAGATCAGGTTTTTCTGGCTGCAAAAGCTATGGGAATACTCGAATTGGACAATGGAGATATTCTGAAGACCATATATGAACTACTTTTGGCAGAAGACACGAGATTAGAGGAAATAATATGGGCAAGAATGTGTGAACTAGGAATCAAGTGTGGAGCCGGCAAGGAGGGATGAATGAGAGGAAGAGATCAGCGTGTATAAACAGTGTGCTACTGGAACAGTTAGCATCTACACCTTACGTCATTTGCTGCAGGAGATAGAGCAATAATGGGTATGCCCGGTGTGCTATGATGTCTAAAATTAGTAAATCAGTCATCTTTTAAAACAAAGTCTTAGGCTCAGTGAAACTATTTTAATGAAGTTGAACCCCCCCCCCCCCTCCCCCCTCCCCCCCTCCTTATATCCTTGTTTAACTTTGCTTTGTAAAATATTTTTATTTACTAAGTTCCTTTACTTAGTAATTGTTTCAGATTGAAATAATCAAAGAGTACACAGTATCTGTTATTTATTAAATGTTATATTCGGTCCCTTTAAGTGTTCATATGTATTTTTTTTCAATATATTATGAGAAAGAAAAGACTGGAGAACTTGCTAACAGCTGGCAAGATTGGTAGAAAGAAAGCAAGAGGAAGGCAAAGAGATAAATGTCTGGATGCCCTTCCCAGAAAGATAAAGCAAGAAAAAACATTTAACTGATTCATGATTTTGATGGCCAAAACAGATGGTGAAAAACGACAGACTGGGCTCATCGACACGGCACATGATGATGCTGTGGGCATGGTATATTAATTGCCACATTTGCCACAGTACTGCCTTTCTTCTACTACGTTCATTGTGTTTTAATTCACCTTCAGGCTCTAATGAAAATGTGGGAGTCACACTGGAAAGAGATATCCTCAGAAACAAAACAGATGCCTCCTGATATTGTTTGCTGCACGGAACTGGTTCTAGACAGCCACAACCACCTGTGCACCATGAACAGATTGCCAGGAGAAAATGAAGTAAGTAGTTTCGTTCTCATTCTGCAGAAGATTGGATGAAAAACAGGCTTCACTTTTTGGGATGGCCTAGGACAAGGGTTTTAAGGATTGTTGCAGTCACCACAGTCTGCAGTTTAGGATTGTTATGTGTATGTGCGCGTGCATGAGTGCAACAGACAGACAGACAGAGTTGGAAGTCCATGAGTTGATTCACGACAGTTCTTATCCTGATGATCAGATTATCTACACAGATGATTCTGTAATGAGAGGGAAGAGAAGTGCCTAGGGATTTGTAGCGAAAGCTAGTGTAAAATCAGCCTGGCAAATGACATAACAACATCTAGCATGAGAATGGAGGTGGAGTTGGTCACTGCAGCTTGCTGTTGGCTAGAGAACAAGATACATACACATGTCGTAATTGTAACAGACTCTGAAAGCATGCTTAAAAAAGGTGAAGACAGGATTGCTTTGAGCAGAGTGGCAAGCTTCACTTGCAAGGTCACGGGTAGTGAGCATACTTCATATCTTTTCTCCAGGTTATGCCGGCATGGTGGGGAATGAACAGGCAGACAGATTGGCTGGATCTGCACCGCTGGGTGGTGAACTGATGCATGACAAGGCAGATGTGGTCAGAGCCTTTTGGGAACAAGTAACAAGTCAGAAGAGAAACTAGATTATTATAGGCTGGAAAGAATGATGCACCTGAGTTGGACTAAAGAGTTCGACCGGCAGAGGAAAGGCAAGATGGGCATACAACCAGACTATGACTGGCACCATTAGTATTGGAGCTCTGTGCTGGCTGCTGAGGATGGTGACAGAGCACATATGGGAGTGCCCCGAGTGCTGTGATGTCAATTCTGGACTCAACTCAGCTCATCTCATTTGAGAGGGGAGGGAAATAGACCCTCTGCCGCCTAAAAATCATGTAAAAGTCAAATTAGAGGTGTTTCTTTGAAATGCATCTGCCTGAGAGCTGAGGAACCAACAATCTGCATACAAATAAACTAGATATATATAATGAACTTGCACACAAAACTCAAGTTTAGTAACCAGACCAGATTCCAGAGGTGAACGAGCAACTATAATGTTTTGCCGTGAACAGTAAGAAGAAGAGACAAATAGCAAACAAATGCTGTGATTATTTTGCAATGTCCTATAAAGGATGTGAAACTATATTATTATTTTTAATGTAGAGGCAGCGGCAACATGAACAGTTTGGATAGATGTTTGTATTTCTTATACACTTGAGCTTAGGTTGTTTTACTGGGATGTTTGTACTGCATTTCAGATTGGAATGGTTGCTTGGAAAGTCACCTTCAAGACTCCAGAGTTTCCTGCTGGCAGAGATATCATTCTCATCGCAAATGACATGACCTTCAAGATCGGTTCTTTTGGGCCAGCAGAGGACATGCTTTTCAAGGTTATTATATTTAACAACATCGTAAATTATAAGTTCATTTTCCTTAAGTCAGAGTACATCTGCCGGTGAGGCAGGGAACTATAGCTGCACTCAAATAAACCAGTAAAATGGATGTACACACAAAATTAGGTCCAGGTAAAAGACAAAAGTCCAAATGGAGGAACAACCAAGTCTTTCTGCCAGAACTTGCAGCTGGTGAACAAGAAAAAGAAGATAAGTTCATGTTGTTCGATCTTACAAATGCATTAAGACAGAGATGGACACAGATAAATCTTGACCACGTCATTACCTTATAAGAAAAAAAAACATTGGTTGATGCGGCCAGTACATGCCCTTGACAGCGAAAGTAAATAATGATAATTATCCATAGCAGGCATGTCAGACATGCAGGCCACATGTGGGGCCCTTTGCAGTCACACCTGAGGCCAGCACAAAGAATACATAAGCGTAATAAATTATTTCAGTTGTTTGTCAAAGGTGGCCCTCATAACAACTCAGATGTGACCCATCTGGCTTTAGGGTTCCTCATTTTGACATGCCAGCCTTAGAGCAAGCTAAATCAATAGAGTAGAACATCATGCAGTTAGTGTTAGACCTATATTTTTATAGACTAGTAGATATAGTATCATGTCAGCAGTCTTTACTTTCAAGGCGAATACTTTATACCCATTTTAGGCTGGGTCGATCTGGGAACCAAGGTCAGTTTTAAAACATCCACCACCAGTTAGATTTAAACCCAAGACCTTCTGCTGGCATGTGTAGAGCATCTAGCCACTATGCTACTGTGGTTCCCACTAGTGTCATACTTTTTGGGAAAAAACCGAGCTTACTGGGTATTGAACTGAGACCATTGACTGAATCTTAAATAAGTATTTTTTTTTTACTATTTCATTGTTGTGTAATATAACAGGTTTTTAAATCATTATTTTGTGTGTTCCACTTACAGAAAGCGTCAGAGCTGTCCAGGAAATTGGGTATCCCTAGAGTGTACATTTCTGCCAACAGTGGAGCCAGAATTGGAATGGCAGAGGAACTGAAGCATTTGTTTAGAGTTGCCTGGCAAGATCCACAAGATCCTGAGAAGGTATGTATCATCATCATCATCATGTTGTGCCATTATATTTCACACAAAGAATGGAGGTAAGGAACACAGTATGCATGCACATAAACCAGATCTGTAAAAACATGTACATGAAACTGAGGTCCTGGATGTGTGTGTGTGTGTGTGCTTGCGCGCGTGAATACACAAGTAAAAATTTATTTTTTTGTCGGTGCACACAGGATATCACCTCTCTTTTTTATGATTGGGTTTTGTGTGTGTGTGTGCTTTTCTGATTGTGTACAAAGTATATTGTGTGTCTGTTTTGACTTTTCCCACGTCTGCATTTGTAGGGCTTCAAATATCTCTACCTGCGCCCAGATGACTTCAAGAAGGTGGCGACTGTCAACTCTGTCAGAGCTGAGCTTATAGAGGATGAGGGTGAATCTCGTTACAGGATAACAGATATTATTGGTAAGCATTAGTACATTGTGCTATTATTTATTAATAAGCCATATGTATTATGTAATTAGCTGATGTTATTTTTTCTTATTTGTCTTGGCTTTTTTTTTCTTCTCTTCCTCTGGTTAGCTCTCCTCATCACATGCCGTTCGACTAGGCACTTGTGATGATTATATAATTTTTTTTTCATAATTATTTCAAAGTTTTCTTTAATAGTTTGACTGCCTGAATTCATCGATCTTGTCAATTTTTTTTTTTTGGCCAGCTAGACAGTTCCTGAAGTTTTTTGTTGTTGATAAAAGTAATATTTTTGGTGACAGTTTTAAAGGACCCCATTGGGCAATAGAGCTATACCTGTATTTAATAGACCAGTTGGCACTCCCCGAGTGAGGCACACTGGCCACCTTTACTTCCAAGAACTTTACCTGGTAGCCATTTTTGGTTGGGTCGACCTAGAAGCCAAGTTGTTTTTTGTGTGTGCAAAAGTGTGACTCAGTTCGGATTTGAACCCATGACCTTCGGATTCACAGCGAGCCTCTAGCCGCTGCATCAAGGCAGCACCCATATGACATTATCTGAATATATTTTTCATGATTAATTTTTTTAAAAACAGTTTTGATGTTATCATAAAACAAAAATTCATAAAACATTCTACAAAAATGAATTCTCTCAGGTAAAGAAGATGGAATCGGTGTAGAGTCCCTGCGAATGGCTGGCATGATCGCCGGTGAGACATCGCAGGCTTACAATGAGGTTATTACAATCAACTTGGTAAGTTGAATAAATGTTTGTCAGTGTCACAGTGTGAATCACGTGTTCTCTCATTTTTGTTGGCTGCAAGGGTTTGAGAAAAACAAAACCTATTATTTCTGCCTGTATTTTACCACCTTTTAGGGTGATGTAGATCGGGGGGCTCTTTAGCCTGAGGATTTAGGGCCACATAACTAGTTGAGGTTAAAGGTGGAGGGTTGACTTCATTGCCCTGGGTTTTATCCCCTATGGCTTGGCCTTTCTCAGCAGAATGGCTAGCAGCCTGCTGAGAATGCCACACAGAACAGAACTCTAAGTGAAGATCCCCAGGAATCTCCGAAAAAATTGCACTCCTGAAGAAAATGAACCCACAAACTTCTGAGCAGAGGCAAACGGCTTGACCACTTCGTTACAGAGACCCCCGCCACAAAACTTTTGCCAAGGACTGTAGTTTACAATTTCATTTTTTCTCTCCATAGAAAAAAATACATCACCAAACCGAGGATTAGAAAGGCCTCTCAAATGAGAGCCTAGTGTTCTTAACTGTAACAGTTTTCCTACCTGTAATTGCCTCTAACCCCTATACTCTTTCTTTTCTTCTTCTTCTTCTTCTTCTTCATTTACCTTTCAATGGGCGGTTGGCATGCTGTGTTGTGGTTTACAGTTAGACTGTAATGTCTTCGACCCAACGCATCAGCAAATCTCTAATTAGCCGCCTCTTAGAACATGCTTGTTAGGGGGCAGTAAGTCTATTCTCCCCCTCCCCCCAATGAGGGAACCGAGAATCCACATGCGGAGCTCCTAAACTTGACTGATTGGCACTCTACAGGTAATGTTGTCAGTACCCTACTGGCTGCTTTTAATTCATTCGGGTCAACCTGTAAGCTGTACTTTAATCGTTCACTCTGACCCTTTGTAGACTTTTTGTAACGATCGGAGCTCCCAGTTTAATCTTATGATCGAATGGGACTTTTGAGATTTGTACCTGTGGGATTCTCATTCCAGTAATGACACATTACAGTTTGCATCGCAAAGTGTGTGGTCCTAGCAGGGTTCATTTTCACACACTCGCTTGGTCAGTGCAAAAAAATTCCTAACTTGGTGGGGATTTGAACATGAAAGCTGACGGACAGGTATGCTAACTACATGCTGCCACTGTCCCTTTTAAAATTAAAACATTTGTTATTGTTAAAAAAAAACATGTGAGTATATGCCTGTGCATGCATGCACGTTGTATTTTAGACATTAATTTTTGTTTCATATAACACCGAATTATTACAAATGTCTTCATTTTGTAGGTATCATGCAGAGCTATTGGCATCGGAGCATACCTTGTTCGACTGGGCCAGCGTGTGATACAAGTAGAGAACTCATTCATCATTCTCACAGGTGCCGGAGCCCTCAATAAGGTAAGTGATATGATTTTTTTAATTGTTTAACTTCTTCCAGGGTAGAGATACACCAGGATACAATTATATTTTGGACAAGCTCACAGCAGAATTTTAACCCCTTTTAATTCATTAGCATATCAAAACAGCTTATTACATACAGTGGAAAGAAGCGGTCATTTTCGGTCAGATAATGAGGAGAGAAAAACAAATGTGTTCTGACAGTTGGAAAGATTGATAGAAAAAGATAAGAAAATTTTTATATGGTCTGTTGTCATGGCACAGAAAGGTGCCAGTTCATAAATTAGTACGTGCTGTACGATTTGAAAACCCTTGATTGCCTATTTCAGACAGCATAGAATTTGATGGTCCAATTTAGATTGCAGTGCAGACCGCTTAAGGCGATCTTGGATGTTTCTAATTGCTGTTGTAAAGAACAATTTATTTATTTTCTGATGAGAAGAACCATTTCTTGTGTCCCCAGTGAGTTCTCAGTATCAGGTCTGCACTGTATTGCTCTATTTACAGTTTACGTGGAGGAAAAAACTTGATCCTGCTCCAGTTTTCCCACATCTGTTTTAATATCTTATGCCCGTTGTTTTTAACTTGTTTATTATGAAATTTATTGCTTTGCAGCAATTTTACATGCAGATATGTTATACCAACAGGGTAGGATTTGTAGTTAGATTCTGTTTATGATTATTTTGCTACCTGAGGTGGATGTTGTGTTTTAACCTTAAATTTGATTGTATTAGTTTATAAAAAGTGAAACTAATTATTATCTGTTAACTGATATTTGTTATGTTTTGTGTTGGAAATTTGATTGTATTATTTTGTGAACTGAAACTTGATTGTGTCATCTTTCATTGTTTCACGAAAAGGTGCTTGGGCGAGAAGTTTACACCAGCAACAGTCAGCTCGGAGGCGTGCAGATTATGTACAACAACGGCGTGTCTCATGCAGTCACACCCGATGACTTTGAAGGGGTTTTCAAAATTTTGCACTGGTTGTCTTATATGCCACTGGTAAGAATGGTTAAGATATATAAAATTTTAATTTAAAAAAAAAATCATATTTAGGGAGCTTAAAGGTCAGTTATTCCCATTTAAAAAATACTGACTGGCTTTAATGAATGCAGCAGAACATGCTTCAAATGCTGTTCTTCCACCTTGGTTGCTTCAAAACTTCACTCCTCAAATGTGGTCCGCCACCACAAATTCTTGAAAATACCAGCCTCAGTTATTTGTCTGTCACTGCAAAACATGAGGCACAAATACTGGCCCGTCAGCCTTTAAAAATAAGAACAAGTATTAGAAGACTCCGCAGTTTAATGTACTTTAATTGTCTTTTTACACATTTTTGTAAATACCCAGTGATAGAGGTAGATTAAATATTTTGGCCATATTCAGACATATGTTATAACTTAAAGCCATAAAAACCATACTGGAGGGATAAGTTGAAGGCAAGAGAGCAAGAGGCAGCAGCGACACATGTGGGGATAACATTAAAAGATGGATTAACAGCAGTCTGAGAGAGTATACATCTGTATCGAAAGTCAGCGTATTGGAGATCCATTGTAGCCAACCTTCAATGTAGAGACTCAGTGTATGGGTTCTTAGGCCCTATTATGGAGAACACAAGAATAGACCCACTGCCTTTCCAGCAAGCATGTCATAGGTGTTGACTCATTGGGGGCTTGCTTCAAATTCGAAGTGCAACTGCTGGAAATGCAAGGAGCAACCAGCTGCACACAAATAAGTCAGTAAAACGGATGTACAGACAAAACTCAGGCCCTGGCACAAAGCCAAAGTCCAAATGGATGAACAACCAGGACTTTCTGCCTTACAGCCGGTGAACAAAGAAGAAGAAGAAGACAGTGTAGAGATGGCAGCTGATTGATTGATTGATTGTATTATCTGACATTGTTTTCTTTTCCTTTCCAGAAAAAGGGTGGCCCTTTGCCAATAATAGAAACGCAGGATCCTGTAGACAGGCTTGTTGATTTCTGCCCAACCAAAGCACCATATGACCCCCGATGGATGCTGGCTGGTAAAAAAGGTAGGTGCTGTTTCTAGCCATTGTCACATATAGGAGGAGGTGAAAGAGGGGATGTGAGGTTTCTTTGCAGGAAAGCAGATTTACTGATAATACACTTTCTGAAACTGATGGGTTTGTGTGTTGGCTGCATCATTTGGAGACACCATGGCATAGTGGCTAGACGCTTGTGTGGGCATGAAGGTTGAGTGTTCAAATCCGCATCAGGTGAAATTTGTTTCAGAAATGACCTTTGGCTCCCAGGTCGACCCAACCTAAAACGTGTACCAGGTAAAGGCCTGGGAAGTAAAGGTGGCTGGCATGATTGTTGTTGACCATAGCACCCACCAAGTGTTAATAGCATAGGTCTAGCATTATTTACCCAGCATGCCTAAAGTGCGTTTTTGTGTGTGTGGGTAACTTCAGTTTATTATTTTGGTTCATCCCCACGTGGTTTCCGGGGTCCTTTGTTGGGGACACCAAGAATAGAGCCATTGCTTGTCCAAAAGAATGTCATGAGAGTTGACTAATAGGGAGCTTCATGTGAAGTCAGAGTGCCTCTGCCCGAGTGGCAAGGAACCAAACAGTCTGCATTCAAATGAGTCAAATCTGTAAAATGGACATGCACGCAGCACTCAGGTTCTGGAACTGGATTAGAGTCAAGAAGTGGACGAATAACCACAATTTTCCGCCATAATTTATAGCCGGTGTACCTGAAGAAGAAGATTTGGTTCATAATCATTGGTTCACAATCTCGCTCTGTGAGGAATATTGAAATTAGGGTACTGGATTCATATTTTGTGTGTGTGGGTGGATGATGTGACCAATATCACGCTGGCCGCTTTTACTTACCAGAAGTTTCCTGGTGCCCACTTTTTGTTGTCCTTGGTCAGCTCGAGAAACCCTGTCAGTTTTAAAGAAAATCCCCACTTCAAAGTGATTTGAACACATTTCTGAGCCAGACAGGAAAGTGGGTAGCAATTAAGGTCATTCTTTGTAAATCAAACCAAGCAAGGAACATAGATCATTAGTTTCAGTCTTGTAGTTGATTGATATGTGCTCAGCCATCAGCATTTTGTTCAGTCCCAACTCAGTTGGTTTAAGGGAGGAATGAAGAAGAAGAAATGGATTTAAAAAAAGAAAAAGAAAAGAAGAAGCAATGTTACAAGTGTAGTAACCCTTGTATTTGTAAATTCAAATAGAACATACATGGCACACATGTTAGTATTGCACAGTTGTGTGGTTTAATGCATTTTTTAAAATATCATACACATAATTGTGATAAAACAGTGGCAAGCTGCTGTACATAAAATTGCCTAATAAAACCACAAACAACCAACAAGTTCTGAGGCTGGTTTACAACATCCAGTAAAAGTGTATGCAGCTAACATTAATTACCCCATACATGATAAAACACAGCAGTTGGTTGTTTCTAAGTCCTAAATAATTATAACTATTTGTTTTGTAGACTGTTAACCAGCATGCTGTATTTTGATGTTTCTGTTTGCAGCCGATGGTGGTATCTGGCAGTCTGGATTTTTTGACAAAGGATCTTTTGATGAGATCATGCGGCCTTGGGCTCAGACTGTGGTTGCTGGACGAGCAAGGTATGTATTGTAGAGCTTTTGTTTTCTCATGGGATGGTCAGAGTTCTTTTTTTTGGGGCCATCTCTAGTTAATCAGTCAAACACTATTTCATCCCTTGGAAATTTCTTTATTTTCCTGAAACTCTAAATTGAAGAAGTAAGAAGTTGCTAGAGACAGTAAGTTCGGCTATGTGGCATAGAGGTTAGCAACCATGCTTTATAATCCTCGACATGCCAGAGTCCGATTTCTGATTTTGAATGGTAAAGAAAAAAAAAACTGATTTTATGGCTCTCGTACAGTGGTACAAGAGTTGCACTGTGTAAGAGATTGGCGCTTCACCACGTAATATTCTCAAGGCATTAGTGGATGAACAAATTCACTGCAGCCAACTCCCATTGCGAACAACACCCCCCCCACACCTCCATGAAAAAAATTAGGGGCTGAGTTCCTGAAGGAAGACACATTGAAGAGGAAAATAATCTGAGAGATTCCACCATTGCATGTATTTTTGAGCCCCTAAAGGGAAACATAAGTTGTAACACTACACATTACCAGGCATAGTCTAAAGCACTATGTTGCCGTGGCTAGCAAGATATTAAAACCTGATCAATCCATAGAATAAACCATTTATTTTATTGTCTATAAAATAATAATCTAGTCATAAAGAAACAGAATATAAAGATACTAAAATAAAATGTTCTGTCTCAGTTATAATTCATCTTTGCCACCAAGATTTTTCAATGTTGATCTGGACTTTATCAAAATAAAATGGTTCCGGCAAATTTATGACCATATTATGTATTGAGGGTCGGTCAATCTAAAGTATATTTAGGGCTCTACCCAAAGTGCTTAAAAATATAAAAGAAAACCTTTGAATCCTTTATTTAAATAAAATATAGTCATTACTGAAGATACATCTTTAGTTATAGCAGGAAAACCTCATTCCATCATTGAAAATATGACACAGTAAGGACTCCACCAAAATTAGACACTAAAGTGTGAAAACAAAACGATTTCCTGTGTTTTGCTTGCATTGCCAAGATTGAGATATAATATGAGCAAAGTAAAACCCACACCAAGGCAGCCATTAGAACCCATTGGAACATTTCCCATCCAGAACAAAGTCCAGGAGACCCATTCAACCTCCTCACATGAAAGAAATGGACAGTTTAGATTGTGAACTGGACACAACAAATTCCTAAGCCAGACGTACAAAAAATTCAGAATGGGAACTTAATGCTTTTCCTATGGGGACAGGCACCACATAATAATGAACGTGTATTGCAGACATGCTCTATACATGCAATAGAGAGATCCCAGGTCCCCCTGGTTGGCATTCCAGTGGATTCTTTTTGTTGTGATCAGTGAAGGGCACACATTACCCCACATTGTTACATATGAAGCAAGGGAACTGGTGATTACTGATTTTTATTTGCTGGTCCATTGTTACAAATGAAGTAAGGGACTTGGTGATTGCTGATTTCATTTGCTGGTCCATTGTTACATATGAAGTAAATGAACTGGTGATTGCTGATTTCATTTGCTGGTCCATTGTTACATATGAAGTAAATGAACTCGTGATTGCTGATTTTATTTGCTGGTCCATTGTTACATATGAAGTAAATGAACTCGTGATTGCTGATTTTATTTGCTGGTCCATTGTTACATATGAAGTAAGGGAACTGATGATTGCTGATTTCATTTGCTGGTCCATTTAGACTTGGAGGCATTCCTGTGGGTGTGATTGCTGTAGAGACCAGGGCAGTAGAGTTGAACATTCCTGCAGACCCAGCTAATGCAGACTCAGAATCAAAGGCAAGTATCATGTGCAGAAAGAAATTATGCTCATATGAAATTTATTGTGTGTACTTCACTTGAGAGCAGCAGTCTCATCAAGAAGCAGATTCTTTGTAGAACAAAGCTCTCATCACGGTCTGCCTGAAAGAAACTCGGTCTCTCGCCAGCTCTCCTGCCTCGTGTACTTTCATATTCAAGGAACCACTTATATCCTGTGCCCATCTTTGTGTTGGTCAGGTCTTGCCTGTCCTTTCTGGACCATGCCTTATATTATTTTTTTCTAATCTTCCATGGCGCTTGATATGACTAAAATATTTCAGCTTCCGAGACATGAAAACCAGAGCAGCAGTAACGTCATGGTAATTGTACTTGCCTGTTGAGGCAGTGTCCAGGTTGAATTCCTGGTAAGTTGCCACCTTTCCAGATGATATTGTTATATTGTGCTGTAAGGAGGCTCATGATGATGGTGAGTATAACTAGCGAGACCAGCACGCATTAAGAAAAGTCTTCCACAATTACAGCATGGAATTTCAGGACCGTTGTTGCCATCACATGTATCGAGGGTGTTTTTCTTCTAAGACACTCAGCTCTCAACCTATCTGCGATCATGTTTTTCCCCATTCCCTTCCTGATTTTCTCCCTCCATACGACATGGTCCATGGCATTCCCTGGTAGTGGCAGCATTTCCCCCACAATCGGTAAGGAGTCAGGTGATGAGGATCTGATGAGATATAAGGATCTTCTGTATGCTCTTGTCTCATGTGTTCTCTCTCTTTCTCTCTCTCTCTCTCTCGCTTTCTATCTCTCTCTCTCTCTCTCTCTCTCTCTCTCTCTCTCTCTCTCTCTCTCTCTCTCTCTCTCTCTCTCTCTCTCTCTCTCTCTCTCTCTCTCTCTCTCTCTCTCTCTCTCTCTCTCTTTTCTTTCTTTCTTTGTGTGTGTGTTGTGTGTGTCCCTCCCTCCTGCCCTCCCGTGCACACACACACTACTTGATTAAGACTTTCCTATATATGTCCTATATATGTTTAACATGCTTGTAGTATGCAGTCAAGCTAATACCAACAAATTAATCCACTGAACTGTGACTGAGAAGTTTAATTAAGAAAAAAGAACAACGTACACACACAAGACAAACTGGATGTTTCGACCAGAACCTTTCTCAACACAAATGACAACAACTGCAGCTGTGGGCAGAGTATAGGATGTTGCCTTTGGTAGTTAGTAGTATTCGGTACCAGTTTGTACATTATGCTATTTTTATATTAATTGTTTTCTATGTGCGTGAAATAGGTGATCCAGCAAGCAGGACAGGTGTGGTTCCCTGACTCTGCTTACAAAACTGCACAAGCCATCAAAGATTTCTCCAGGGAAGAGCTACCCTTGTTTATGTTTGCCAACTGGAGAGGTTTCTCAGGAGGCATGAAAGGTAACCAGCATCTCCAAGACTCAATGTATTTGTTTTTACTTGAGACACTGGACCGATTGAATCGATGGCAACGCAAGGGGATGTTAATTTTTTTACCAGCATCTATCTGGGGTCAGTTTTGGACAACCTGGAATGGAAGTTGTGTTAAACTTGTCTGAATATGATAGTCTAAGTTCAAGGAAGTTTCTTCTAGGAAGTTTGAAAACACTTATTGGTCTAGCAAACCAACAGTGGCTTTATGAAGAGATCTCGTGAGCTGACATATCAAGAATAGGAAGCGAACTGAAGGGACTGTTGTATAGATCTCTTCCTGCCAAGACCAGACGATGCATTCTAGGAGTAGAGAAAAGAAGAAGAAAAAGCTTGTTTCTACTCCATCGGCCACAAATAAAGTACAGAAATAAAAGACATTTCCAGATCTTGAAATGTATAGTGTATATGGTGTATAGTGTATATGGTGTATAGTGTATATGGTGTATAGTGTATATGGTGTATAGTGTATATGGTGTATAGTGTATATGGTGTATAGTGTATATGGTGTATAGTGTATATGGTGTATAGTGTTATTGGTGTATAGTGTTATTGGTGTATAGTGTTATTGGTGTATAGTGTATATGGTGTATAGTGTATATGGTGTATAGTGTATATGGTGTATAGTGTATATGGTGTATAGTGTTATTGGTGTATAGTGTTATTGGTGTATAGTGTTATTGGTGTATAGTGTTATTGGTGTATAGTGTATATGGTGTATAGTGTATATGGTGTATAGTGTTATTGGTGTATGGTGTATAGTGTATATGGTGTATATAGTGTATATGGTGTATATGGTGTATATAGTGTATATGGTGTATATAGTGTATGTGGTGTATATAGTGTATGTGGTGTATAGTGTATATGGTGTATGGTGTATAGTGTATATGGTGTATAGTGTATATGGTGTATAGTGTATATGGTGCTAGACCAATATTTGTATAGACAAATCAGCATTTACTGATGTGGTCAGTATCCCACTGGTGCATTTGGAAGTCCCAGTGAACCTCCATCACCTGGACCTACAACATCTTGGCATGCAGGGGTAAAAGGAATGGAAGAGCCGGCTAACTGGCAAGTACTGCACCATTGTATATGGGAAGAAGCATGGACAGAGCTGATATCAGCACTGTAGGACTAGTCTGGGGGATAATGGTAAATCTCTGACACAAACATGATTGCATGACATGGTAGCAAATAAAGCTCAGTAAAGCACATCTATGTTTTCTCTAAGGCCAAGACAGAAGACACTATAACCAGCTTCTTATGGGAACAAGCAGTAGCTTTGAAGTGGATGCTGCATTGGTGGACTCAGCATGCATGGGAATGCCCAGTGTTGATTGTGATAACATCCTAATGGTTGTCTTCACTTCCTTATTATCCCAAACCAGGGAAAGAAAACCCAGCGACAGTGGACATTTGCAAATATGACTACATACAGGGTTGGCAAATAAGCATGCTTGCCACTGTACTACATTTTCTATGTGTGTGTATATATATATATATATACTGCTTAGGATTAGGCAGTCAGTATTGTTTAGGAGAAAGAATAAACTCAAAAACTTGGTGACAAATGGCAAGATTGATGGGGAAAAAAAAAGCAAGGGAAATATAACAAGATAAAAACCTTGATGGCCTGGCCACATTGATGGGAAATAATGTCCTGGTCTGTAACTCTGATGATTGTCTGGAATGGTAAACTTTGGGTGTCTATACTTATTGGCATGGCATATAGTCATAATATGTTTGTTTTTTTTATAAACATTTCCTTCTCTGGCATTGAAGCCCAACAGACCTAGGGACTCAAACAGCCATTTTGTGGACAATTCAATCAGAGCAAATCTCAGAAGCTCTGTTCAAACATATACAAGTTTTCTTGGGACCTTACTGTTACAAAGTAACTTCTGTCATTCATGGGTGAATAGGATGGACTGCTGACCTATCTAATGTACTTAGCTACATTGTGTCTAAAATTTGGTACCTGTGACAAGATCTCATGAAAATGAAAAAAAAAAAAAAAAAAAAAACCTCAACTAGCAGAATTAATAATCTGGCAGTATTTCTTATTGACTTGCAGACATGTATGATCAGGTGCTGAAGTTTGGCTCCTACATTGTGTCTGAAATTTGGTACCTGTGACAAGATCTCATGAAAATTAAACAAAACAAAACAAAAGCCTCAACCAGCAGAATTAATAATCTGGCAGTATTTCCCATTGACTTGCAGACATGTATGACCAGGTGCTGAAGTTTGGCTCCTACATTGTGTCTGAAATTTGGTACCTGTGACAAGATCTCATGACAATGAAACAAAACAAAACAAAAACCTCAACTGGCAGTATTTCTTATTGACTTGCAGACATGTATGACCAGGTGCTGAAGTTTGGCTCCTACATTGTGGATGCAATCAGAGAGTACACACAACCGATATTTATTTACATCCCTCCATATGGTGAGCTGAGAGGAGGGTCCTGGGTGGTGGTGGACCCCCTGATCAACCCAGACTACATGGAGATGTATGCAGACAGCCTGAGCAGGTAAAATACAATTGTTTGTTTCACAGCTGGGCAATCTAAGACCAGTGTGATATTTGTTGAAGATTTGTTTTATTATTCTTCCCTTTTTCTCCTCCTCCTCCCCTCTTCTTCTGCCACTGCTTCTTCTCCTCAGCCTTTGACACCTCTGCCCTTTTCTTCTGCGGTTTTTCCTCATCTTCTGCTTACCCTTCTCTTACTTGTCTCTATCTTTTCTTATATGAGCTCACATCCTTGTCTCCTGTACTTTAAATCAGTGTTCTTCAACCTTTTTGTACCCGTGGCCCATTAAAATGGGGCCCACCTGACAGCTAACCAAACACAGGGAAAAAAAACAGCAACACTAAGCATGTTTAATCCAAGGCCACAGAATTAACAGTTTTGAGCTAATGGGACATCTGCTACTGTTTAGAGGTAAGAAAATCCGATATACATGGCTGGAACGTTATTGTTGATGGACGATACATTGAAAAACATCCATTTGATTTCTGAGTTTGGTTTTTATTACTGACATAACTGAGAAAGTTTGTTCACACAGATAGGAAGTCGAAAACACAACCAACAATCTGATAGCTAATAATTTGGAGGTGGATATTCTTTTTCGAGTTATATCCAAAACTTAGACAGTGATTATATTTCATGATTGAACACGAAAGTGACATCAAAAGACAACCCTATCAGCTTTTATTTTTCACAATGATCGAGTGTGCATGATTTTATATACTCCAAAAAAAAAAAAAAAAACTTAATTAAAAGGTTGCTTCTTTTTGAGGATCCCCATTTTGTTGGAAATAATTGTCAAAGTTTTCAGCTAATGCCTTTAAATGTTGACAGATTATGATATTGACAGATTATGATAAATATAACTTTCTATTTGAAATAAGCAGAAATAAATTCTCAGTAAGTGGAAACATTTCTGTATTTTTTTGGTGTGTGTGGCTATCCCAGAGAGCCAGTTTCTCTCTGAATGTGTCCGTGTTATTTCTAAGTGAAAATATTTGTGCGAGTCCTTCAAAGAGAAATGTTATTCATTAAGAAGCCTAAATATGCCTAACATATATGCCAGCTTAGCCATCTATTCCTGATCCTTGTTCAGGAAAAATAAAGGTGCTGGTAACGTTGTCAGGCCCAGATAGAGAGTGACTTTCCTTGCCCATTCATGCATGGTCATGTCGCAGGTCCTGTCCTGTGTTGTGGGGGTGTAACGTTTAGTGATCGGCCAGGAACACAACAAATTTTACACATTGTCAGTGGCTGGTGATATTGTGTGTTCTTTATTCCACGATGTGAGTGCTTTTAATGGCCCCAAAACATGTAAAACCGGCCCTAACAACCCCCCTTGGCCACAGCCTCAGCCTATGTCCCGCGAGAGAGTGCAGCCTATGTCCCACGACCTCATGCAGCCTATGACAGCAACGTGTAAAATATGTTGTGTGGCTGAACGCTCACTAAGGGCAACACCCCAGTAACAAAGGACAGGCCCTGTGACACGACCAGGCATGAATGGCAAGGAAAGTAACGCTATTTATGAGCCTGACTTCGTTACTTAACCCCCCACCCAAAAAAAAAAAAAAAAAAAAAAAAACACAAAAAATAAGCACTACTATGCCAGATTTAAGCTGTCGCAAAAATTGCATTACTTCCTCCTTCAGTTCAAAAAGCTGCAAGAATCTGTTCCCTCAATAACCACCTCACTTCTTCATGAAAAAATAGATGGTAATGATGTCACAGTAAAGAATTATAGCAGCTACGCCACAGTGACTCCAATGTATGTAGTACACATTATTTTATTTTTTCAAATTTTAATTTATGATTCAAAGGGTCAGAGTTCCCTGCTGTACATGCAAATAGGTCCTAGCTATACAATCATGTAGAGAGAGAAAGAGAAAAAAATTAATGTTTACAATTGTTAACATGTTTTGGTTTTGTTTTCAATCAGAGGTGGAGTTTTGGAGCCAGAGGGCACAGTTGAAATCAAGTTCCGTCAAAAAGACATAGAAAAATGTATCAGAAGACTGGACGTGGAGACCAAAAAACTGGTGGAAAAACTGTCCAGTCCTGGCTTGACCCCGGAGGTTAAAGCAGCTCTGGAGATTGAATTGAAGGAAAGGGAGGAGAGATTGATACCCCTGTATCATTCCGTGGCTGTTATGTTTGCTGACCTTCATGATACACCTGGCAGGATGGAGGAGAAGAATTGCATTACGGTTAGAATATATGTAGTCTTATCACTTCTTATCTATATATCACCGCCACATGTACACACAATTCAAGATTGGCGAGTCAGCCATGTGTACATGTGGATTAGCACTTGAGACAACAGATCATGTCCTCCAAGACTGTCCCAAATACATCATGTCAAGGCCAAACATTTGGCCAAGAGAAGCACTGGTGCAAGCCAAACTTTATGGGTCGCTGATTGAATTACAACAGACTGCAGTTCATACTAGAGACAACATGGCAGATATAGATAATCTCTTTCAAGCGAACGAAAGAAGAAGAAGAAAAATCACTGCTTATCGTGGAGCGGCTGGCCTAGTGGTTAAAATCACTGCTAAACCCAGTTTTGAATACTTGGTTATGCTGTGAATTTTTTCTGGTAAGGCCAAAAATAAAATGATTACCTGCAGTCTCTAAATCCTTAGGCTCAAATACACACACCCCTTCTCCCCCTTTTACAAAAATTAGTGGTAACTACAGGCAGCAATGGCATTTTTATTTGTTTTTCAATCAAGCCTTATTTGATTAGTCTGCACTTGACCTTTATAGATTGTGCTGTTTGATTAGGAAAGACAGAATGCCTTAGAAGAGCTGCAGAAGTTTCAAGGAAAGACAGAATACGAAATCATGAAATCAGACATATGCTAGGAATAAAGCCAGCCTTACAGGTCATCAAAGAACAACAAATGAAGTGGTTTGGACACCTAACAAGAATGCCCTGGTACTATCTGCCACAGCTAGCCGCACTAAAATGTTACAATGGGTATAGAGCCAGTGGAAGACCTCGGGAGTGATGGCATTAAGAACAACCTTACAAAAATGAACATCAGTCTTAAAAGTGCTCTTGACAGAGCTCATCAACGAACATTACATCTCCCCCCGACACTTCAATGAGGTAAAAGGTGGAAGAGAAGAAGAAGCTGTTTGATTGGACCATCCATCTTGCTCATTTCATACTGTTAAGTCAGATTATTCATCTTATGGATATCTGTAAGGAAGCTACTAAAGCTGTCTCCATTTGATCAGCCTTGAATATCAAATTTTGTTTTAGACATTCTTAACCCAGCTATGATGAATATTCAGTATTCTTTTATCTAATATTAAAGGTAGATCTGTAGATCCAGAGATCATGGATTCAAGTCATGACAGAGACTGACTGTTTCAAAAAATGACCTTGGCTCCCAGGTCGACCCAGCTTTAAATGGGTACCAGTTAAATTCCTGGGAAGTAAAGGCGGGTGACATGATGCTGACCACATCACCTACCAAGTGCTGATTGGTCTATAAAATTAAGGTCTAGCCCTATATGCCCAGTACATTTAAGGCGTCGAAAAGGGTCCTTTTTATCTAATATTAGTTTTGTTGTGTGTGTCTGTCTCTGTTTTCTTTTCTTCCTTTTCCAATTTTCAATTTTTATGTTTGTGAAAATGAAACCATTTTTGTTTCAATTGTTCCTTTGTTAGGAGTATCTTTTTTATTTTTATTTTGTTCTGCAGTATATTGTTCCTGTTGTTTTGATCATTGATAAAGACTTTGTTTGAAACATTATCTTGAAACATTATCTTGCATTGTTATGCATGCAAAGCCTCCTAGACGATTTTAGAAAAGATGTTCAGTAATTCTTATTTTCAGCTTTACAGCAATCACTCCCCTATTTCCAGTTCCTCTTCAGTTTGGGCTTTTCAGTAAATGTAAGAGGAGAGTCCTGCAAGTATTTTGGCCAGATATGATCTTCTGTTGTCGTCACACTGATACCAGGTTGTAACCTAGTGTCATGGTTTTTGTCGTCTCACTGAAACCAGGTTGTAGCCCAGTGATGTAGTTTTTGTCGTCTCACTGATACTAGGTTGTAGTCTAGTGTCGTGGTTTTATCGTCTCACTGATACCGGGTTGTAGTCTAGTGTTGTGGTTTTGTCGCCTCACTGATACCGGGTTGTAGTCTAGTGTCATGGTTTTGTCGTCTCACTGATACCAGGTTGTAGCCCAGAATTGAGGAAGAAAATAAAATGTTCATCACTGGCAAATGTTATCAAACAAAAAAGATTGAGATGGCTTGGACATGTTTGCAGAATGCCACTTTGACAAGAATGGACAATAGATAGGGGAAAAAAAAAAAAAACCAAGGATGACCTAAGGAAATGTGGAGAAGGACAGGGGAGAAAGGGAAATGAAAAACATTATATATACATATGGAACATTATAGCAAAGTAGCAGACTGGCAACAATGGAGATCACTTATGCCTTATGTGTCAGCAGCAACAAGAAGAGAATATATATTTAGTCTAGAGGTTGGAGGAATTTTTTTAATTTTTGAGGTAATTCCAACCATAATCAACCTATAAGCCCTTTCTTGAAAATTGTATCTTTTCTGTTGTCCCGTACACCCAGATATGAGTTATTGTATACCCCCCACTGCAGATGGCTTTACAATTTTATTTTTCGATTGAATTTTGCTACGACAACTGTTATTATCACCAATTTTCTTGTCTGAATTTCAATTTCATTTTAAATTGAATCTTTCAGACCTGAGCCTCTCTTCCTCCTCGGCTTTTCCCAGATGATATTTTATGTCTGCATCAGCGAGCTTATTATACTTTGTTCATACACATGGCATCAGTTTTTGTCTCTCTTAAACAGTGAAATGTGTTTGTTTTTTACAATTATCTCTCAGATATCTCTCATTTCATTATAAATATTAATTTATTTGACAGTATGTGTTGGAAGTACGGCTTCTGAACTGTTAAGAACAATGGGCTCTCATGAGGGAGACCCAGGGTAGAATCCCAGGTAAATTTGTTTCTGCCAGGGGCAAAATAAAATCCTAACCTGCAGTCTGTGGCGACAGCACTAGCCATGTGGCCTTAAATCCTCTAGCTCAGAGACCCCCTCCCCCCCCCCCCCCCCAAGCCGCTTACGCTGCAGAGGGGATAAATACAGTTGACATATTGACAGTTTTGACAATATGTATTCAGATTTCCTAAAACTGTTTAACTTTCTGTCCCAAAAACAGCAAGTGCTCAAGTGGTCCACATCTCGTGAGTTTTTCTATTGGAGATTACGTCGGAGATTGCTGGAGCACAAGGTCAAGAAACTGATGCAACAACATCTGCCTGGCTCTAGCCAGGCTCAGCTAGACTCCATGTTAAGCCGGTGGTTTGTGGAAGATCAAGGCACTATCAATGTAAGTGATAGGTTACCACCTTGTACACATACATGCACGTACGCACACACACACATCAGTGTAAGTGTCAAATTATTATGCTGTTACCACTGTCTATATTTACCTCAAATTATTCTTTCTTTGAAAATATGCTTAATATACATGTTTTGAAATTGTGTAGGTTTGACAACTTAAACCTTAAAATTGTTTGTCGCACACTAGACAGTAAACTTCAAATTTATGGGTTCTCCGTGGCAAAGTGGTCAAGCCGCTTACCTCAGGCTCTGAAGGTCGTAGAATCACTCCACGGCTGCGCTGTTCAGTTCATGAGTGCCGTTTTTAACGGAGATTCCCGGGGACTGTCGCCGGAGCTGTGGAGTTCGTGCTCTGCGCGATGCTCTCGGCAGGTGGCTAGCCATTCTATGGAGAGAGACTGAGCCATATGGGATAAAACCCAGTGCAATGAAGTCAATCCTCTTAACTTTGACCTTTAAGGTTATACTTTTTAGCTTAGCATATGAAGAGACTTCTATTACCCGACTAAAATTTAATCAAAAAGCCCTTTACTGCTAATTATTTAACTAAGTCAAACTTAAGTCCTTGATTTTCATGTTTGGTCTCTCCAGAATATATAATTTTGTAATTTTCAAATTTTATTTCAGCAGTACCCACCTGCCTGTGTTATCCAGATACCTATATCACATATCCGTGTCTCCAAAAATTTCATTCCTGTCTTAATCCAAACACCTATATCACATATCTGTGTCTCCAAAAAATTTCATTTCTTTCTTAATCCAAGTACCTATATCACATATCCATTTCTCCAAAAATTTCCTTTCTGTCCTTATCCAAGTACCTATATCACATACACATGTCTCCAAAAATTTCATTTCTGTCTTAATCCAAGTACCTATATCACATATCTATTTCTCCAAAAATTTCATTCCTGTCTTAATCCAAGTACCTATATCACATATACATGTCTCCAAAAATTTCATTTCTGTCTTAATCCAGGTACCTCTATCACATATACATGTCTCCAAAAATTTCAGTTATGTCTTAATCCAAGTACCTATATCACATATCCATTTCTCCAAAAATTTCATTTCTGTCTTAATCCAAGTACCTATATCACATATACATGTCTCCAAAAATTTCATTTCTGTCTTAATCCAAGTACCTATATCACAAATACATGTCTCCAAAAATTTCATTTCTCTCTTAATCCAAGTACCTATATCACATATACATGTCTCCAAAAATTTCATTTCTCTCTTAATCCAAGTACCTATATCACATATACATGTCTCCAAAAATTTCATTTCTCTCTTAATCCAAGTACCTATATCACATTTCCGTTTCTCCAAAAATTTCATTTCTGTCTTAATCCAAGTACCTATATCACATATACATGTCTCCAAAAATTTCATTTCTCTCTTAATCCAAGCACCTATATCACATTTCCGTTTCTCCAAAATTTTCATTTCTGTCTTAATCCAAGTACCTATATCACATATCCGTTTCTCCAAAAATTTCATTCCTTTCTTAATTGAAGCACCTATATCACATATCCGTTTCTCCAAAATTTTCATTTCTGTCTTAATCCAAGTACCTATATCACATATCCGTTTCTCCAAAAATTTCATTCCTTTCTTAATTGAAGCACCTATATCACATATCCGTTTCTCCAAAATGTTCATTTCTGTCTTAATCCAAGTACCTATATCACATATCCGTTTCTCCAAAAATTTCATTCCTTTCTTAATTGAAGTACCTATATTACATGTTTATTTCTCCTGGCATTCCACATAATTTATATCTCTTCATTTTTTTTTCTTTTCTTCCTCTTATTGCTTGATAATGGGTGTGTATCAACTCTTAACTCATAATCCTAACTCATAATAAGGAAAAGCACACTTAAATAAATTGCAACTTATTTGTTCAAATTGCACTTCAGAAATGTGCTGTGGGGTCCTGTTTCATTTTTAGACCTTCAGAAACTCTTTAAAAAAAAAAAAAAGTAGGACCTCTATGGAATTCCTTAAAAAAGATCCCTTAGAAAAGAAAAAAACCAACAACTTGGAACAGATCACTGTTAATAAAATCATTTAAAGTGTATCTACATTTAATAAAAAATTTTTTTTTAATATTTTAGGTGACTAATTAATAAATATAATAGAATAAAGTATTCAGTTGTATAAATTCCCAGGGAGCCTAAACATTTATATGGTGAATCACTCCCTAGCCTCATCACAATTCTACCACTAAAGTTAGGGCGAATTATGACATGAAAACCTCCCTAAGTGCTTTTTGCTAGTAAATATATTTATATTCAGGCCTCCTAAACACCGAGCAGACGCAGACAAAACCCAATGCTGTTAACTAGGCTTCTCAGGGACAGGCTGTATTGCTGGGTAAGCAGCATTCACAGAATTGAGTCACAGACAGAAACGCTTTGATGACAGAAGCTTGGGGCGACAGAGTTCAATCAACACAGAAGGGTGATACTGTAATCTAGCATGCATGTCATTATTGGCAGCTAAAGAGGGTTGGTGGGAAACTGGTTTTGTCATCCCTTGGAAGAATAGGTGTACATATTTGAGTGGCATGAGCTGGGTGAACCAGTTTCTAGGATGAGCACGGAGAAGTGTAGACAGTTCTCGACCAGTGTGAGCTCTGCTTCTGGTGCACCTTTAGATGTGGTTAAGCACTTCTTTACACCACCACATCCCCAGAAATCAAGGTATTAGACAAAGTTTACCTTGTTGTTTGTTCTAAGTATTTCATTTTCGTCTCTTAAAGTCAAAAACAATTAAGCACCGTGAGTTATTGTACACTGTTACATTTCAGTGTATGTAATAACTATTGAATTATTGTTTGTTGTTGCTTGAATGAAGGCCTATCAGTATGAAGATGACAAGCGAGCCGTGGAGTGGCTGGAGGTACAGATAAAAGACAGCAGTGAAAATAATGCAGTGATGGAGAATATTCGCTGCATACAAAGAGATTCCGTCCTCTCACAAATAAGAAGGTGAGTATTTGCATGTCCGTTGCCACCATCGGCTCTTCTGGCTGTATATTTTAATTTTAGTTCTGAAATGTAAGGCCCCCCCCCCCCCCATTTAAAAAAATAAAATTGGTTCAGACTTTTCCCCCAGCCTGATCCTTTTACAGCCAGCCTCTTGTATTTAGTATAGTAGCAGATTTTTTTTTTAAAACCTTGTACGTTTCGTAAAGGAGGGAATCTATAATAAATAGAGACACTCAGTACTATCCCATTAAGCCATTCCAACAGATAGACCCACCTCACACTCTGCTTGATCCATTTCTTCTACCCAAACAGATAAATCCAGCTCATGCCCATCTAAATTGTTTTCTGCCAGCCCATCCTACCCATAAACAAAATGAAATATGACCAAGAAGAGAATGTCTGAACACATTTGTGTAACTGTTGCTCCGTTTGCTTTGTTTCTTCCTGCAGTTTGATGGGAATTAACCCAGATATTATCATGGACTCCATCGTCTCTATGACACAGCACATGTCCAGCACACAGAGAAACGAAGTCGCCCGCATTCTGGCCAACCTCAATGCCCAGGAGGAAGCTCCGTCTGAACCTTAAACAAGCCCATTGTTTTCCGCATTTGTTTGTTTTAAAAAGACAGGAATTTCTGCAGAATTGTTTCAACAGAAAATGTTAGAAAAAAAATAAAAGATTGTGTTTTTACGTCTGCTGATATTATGTAATATTTACCACACAGATGTGTCTTGGCTAAGTTTTAAAATTATCGTCATCATCATCATCGCCATCCTCTTGTGCTGATCGTGTGTTATATTAACCCACTATATTAATAGATGAACAGATTTTATTCTCAATGGGTTAATTGGAGGTGCAGCACTTTCTCATGTGCTGCACTTTTGGCCTTACTCCTTACATACATTATCCCATTCACACGCCATTCGACACAAAATATTTAGTTTCTGAAACTGTAGACCTTGCTGTCTGTCTAGTTAATATAACAACTACTTTAGATATGGCATTCTTTAGCTGCACATTACAAATTTTGATAAAGAAGGATAAAGTCACACATGTTAACTTAAAAAAAAAAAAAAAAAAACCAGGAAAGGGCCCTTTTCCACACCTTTCAGACGTAGTGGGTATATAGGGCTAGACCTATCTTTTATAGACCAACAGCACAAGATATATGATAGGGTCAGCATCACGCCAACTGCCTTTACTTCCCAGGACTGTACCTGGTACCCACTCAAGACTGGGTCGACCTGGGAGCCTAGGCCATTTTTGAAAAAGTCTGGCTCCGCCAGGGAGCGAACCCATGACCTTCCCCGATCCGCAGGGGAGGGTCTAGCCGCTACGCCATGGCAACTCCCACATGTTTAGCACTGGCAGAGTTAATAAATATTGTTAAAAAAATTATATGTGTTGGAAGAAAAACGTCGCCCTTGTGCATCCATGTTGGTGTGCCCCGGTTATAACAGGTTCAAGGCACAACTGTCTGGTATTGAAAGATGTAATCAAATCTTTGACAAATTATATTTACTGTGCAGCTGTTGAAGGAAAGTTCTATTTATCAGCATCATTATTTACTTGCATAGGTTAATGTGCCCCAGAATGTTCTCTATGGAGACTCATGATTTTATTTATTGTCAGGTTTTTGTTTGTTTTCTTGGGAAAAAAGGTGCCGGTACTCACCAGTACGTAGCACAAAGTGTCTGTTACAGTAGAGCTGGTAAAGGCAAAGGTAAAGTCGAGAGATGTGAACCAGCGTCATTGGACACGGTTATAAACCATAAGTGCTCTGCCACCAGTACAGAAAGCTGATAAGAATTGTCCGCCTGTGTCGCCGTTCGCACGTAACTCTGTAGCTACAGCAAAGTTGCTCCATTTACCCCAGATGGTACCTATTTCCTAAAGGCTGGGTGAACCCTGGGAGCCGCCTGGTTTCGAACACCGACTATGGCTGCAGCGAATCGCAACTGGATTGGAAAGCCAGCCTCTTATCGACTGAGCTAACGCGGTTCCCCAGTAGCGCTGGCAAAATGCTGCTTTAAACAAAAGGGCTGATATTATTATGTAATACCAGAAAATGCTCCTATCATTGTCAATCATTATGTAACAAAGTGAACATTTGGGTGTGACCTGAATATTGTTTTCTGTTGTCAGCAATTATGCGATGTACAGTTGGTGTTTTTGAGAAAAAGGGATGGATGGTGGAAGGATGGGGTATTGCAATATCTCTACCTTCTTTCTCTGCCTTTGTTTTTCCATTTTGATCTAAAGTCGAGGGTTGTTGAAGAAATGTTTGTATAAAATAAATTCATGATTTTGCAAAAGTTGTTTTGTGCGTGTAAGTGTCCGCGAGTGTCTGCATGAGAGCATGCAGATTGATATATTACATGCAGCACCTAATTTACAAAACAAAAGGCAGCAGGGGAAATGCAGATAAGCAAACAACCATACGTATGATTTAATGACTGGAAGAGTTCTTGACTAACATCTCATGCTTTATCAACATGTCAAGAGGAATAAACTTGTTGGAAATAGATCATATTCTTGCTTGTCCTCCATAAACAGGCAGTTCAGAAGATAGTTTCTGGGGAAATCAAGGACACCTGAAGCTTACATCCCAGTTTATGGCCCACAGTGGATGAAGCGCATGAACAGAGATCAGTGAAGAAGCAGTCAAAACCTGACATCATAGCACTCGGGACAATCCCATAAGCGCTTTATCCTTATCTTCAGTAGCAGACACAGAGTTCCAATTCCAATGGTACCAGTAACAAACTGATTGTGTGTCGTTCTTTCCCTTTCCCTGAGTAGTGAGCATAGGCCATATCCCCTGGTTGACAAAGAATATAGAATCCTAAAGTCTTCCACAGTCTTTATTGGTTGTATAAATGGGCAGACAAAAGCATGACTGGCAGGTTACAAGGGAAGGGAACAATATAGATATAATTAATAATGCTATTGGCAACATTATTGTGCGTTTGCACACGTTAACAGGTCTTAATTTGGCAGAGAGATTCAATTTTTGCTACGTTATATGTACGTTAAATATACATACATAAAAGCTTGAAAGATTATCTTGGAAGAAAATGCGCTGTCGTATTTGCTGAAAATTGTAATTTTGTGATATCAGAGTTAAGAAATGAACTGCAGTGTCCATTTATTGTTGTTTCTTGCTTGGTCAACTTTCAGTGGGTGGCAAAACAATTGACCCTGTTTTGAGTCACAGGCATGAAATAGTTTGAGGAACACTGGAGTATTGTGTTTCAGTTGATTGTTGTCACAAACAGAGATAGAAATACTGATGTATCTTGTTGCTATTGGTTGTGCATGTATGTAAAAGCATATTTGAGATCTCAAGATATTTGCATCTACTAGTACATTTCTGTTATTTATTACCAGTGTCTCTAACCAGTATGTTGCTTTCTTATTTGTTGTTTACATTATCTTACTTAACATAAAATGTATCAGCAATTTTTTATTTCATTTTAAAAGTACATATATTTTATGCCAGTAATTCATCATGGAATTTGCTTGATGGGCAGTTACAAGAATTAGGCTAACAATTTGAAAGGAAATGACGAAGGTGATAAGAATAAATCAAGCAGATAAAAGTTTGGTCTCCTTGGTGAAACTTCACAAGAGTTGAAATCATAAACTTATTTAGGTGATCATCTTCTTCTTCCTCTTCTTCAGCATTCCCAGTCCTTGAGGTTCATTGCTGCAGATATCACCCGCCTCCATTCATCTCATAATAATATTATTTTCTAATTCATATATTTAAAAAATAATATGAAAGGCAAAAGGAGCTCCTTTAACGACTGAAAATCTGGAAATCAAAAGAATGACAACATAATGAGAAACTTAGAATATTTAACTGTGGCATCATGCGCTCACAACTGAATGCATTAGAACAGTGGTTTCCAGTTGGTGGTCCCCAGAGTAGAACACATGTAAGGGTCTGTAACATTTAGAATGAAAACAAAAGAGTTTGTTGTTGCCTATTATGTAAATTTACTTCTCTTTTCTTTTGTTTTCAACCACCCTCCCCCCTTCAATATAAATAATAAAGTAGGGGGTCGGCGGCAGGCCTTTGGAAATAAGAGTCTTGTCTAATTGGCGGGAACCAAATTAATTAAATAACTACAAATAAACTACAAACATTAATTAATTGGAAACTGTGAAGAAGAAAAAAATAAAATCATGCGACAGAATCATTAATGAGAAGCTTGGAGACAATTAAATTTTATAGAATCTGAGAAAAATAGACTGGTGCTGTATAGGACACACGTTGAGAAAACATGATACAGGAAACGATTTTTTTGTTGGAATTCAAAGACCAATAGTAAAAAAGAGACCCAAAAATAAAACATAGAGAAGAGAGAATTAGAGCTAGAGGTGGATAAAATCTTCAACATGGAGAGAGATGCAGATGACTGCAAAGAATAGGACAACTTAGCATAGCTTGCTTTGAGGTCTGTGCGGGATTAAAGGATGTAAGTAAGTAAGTACATTTTACCCTACCAGGACATCACACAGAGCAATAAACACCGGGATACACAAAAGTGCCACCATGCGGATGGGGATCACCCTTGGAGAGGTCCAGAAAACCCTGTTCAACCGCTATGTTATATTAGGGCCCCTGGCATAAGCCAGGGTGGGGCTTCAAAATAACGAAAAATTGCATCCCACAAGGCGACGACTTTTTGATTTACTGGGGGATAAAGAGCTTATAAAAGCATCATGGCGAGATAATTAGTTTAGTTGACAGTTCTTTCTTTCTTTCCCACTCTATGAAGGGGGCTGAGTGGTCTCGAGGCATGGCTACCTAGAGTATTGGAGGTCATGGTTCAGGCCCCAGCAAAAGCTGGGATTTGTTTCACGTGGACTTCTAGTAATTTACCTAGTTCTCTAGGTAGTAAGATCAGACACATGTGTGTATTTTTGCACACATAAAAAAATCTCTTGGCTGTTGGAAATCGAAAAGAGTAGCACTGCCGGGGCAAAATTTGGAGTAAAAAAATCTACTCAGAAGTATTTTAGGATCCTCACCGCTGCTATGGCATTCGTGCGTAAGCTGAGATTCTTCGGAGTTAGAAGAGCGAAGCACCTAAGGGTTACTACTGTTGTGCCATGATGTTAATCAGTGCCAGACATGGCCACTCACAATAAATGATAAAAGAACATTAGTAACCATTGACATGAGATATCTGAGAAGGGCTGCAGGAGTGACAAAAAGAGATATTAAAATCAGGAATGTGGTCAGCACAGAACCTATTCTAAATTACACACAGTCAGCAGATCACATGGCTGACAGAGAGAAATGCCTTGCAACACCATACCACACATGAAATACACACCAGAAGAGTAGAAGAGCGTAGAGCACGAGGTAGACCAAGAGCACCATGGAAAGATAACATCAGAGGAACACTGTGATGATTTCAACTTGACTCCAGTGTCCTCAAGCATTGTTTTTGGCTGTCTCTATCACTTGGTATAATATATTTTTTTTTCAATGAGTTATGAGTGGATTATCTTCACAGCACTCCAGAAACATATTCATCAGTGTCGCACGATTAACAGTGCCAGTCCTATGC